TGAGGTTATACACCACCGAGGACAGAAGACACCAGATGCTTAACCCATTCCCGAATGAAAACATGAACCATATCACCACTGGACTTGACGAATAAGGATCTAGGTAAACAAGTCTATAGTATAACCAACATAATCATCTATCACACATCTCGGGATAGCTGCCCTATGCCCTTTGTCCAACTATAGACGGTTGCCAAGAAAAAAATACCGACATTACAAGTTGTATTTATTCGTCGACAGCTTTGCCTTGTAGATGATTCTCAAGTGTTAGGAATAACGAAGGTTGAAAGCAGATTAGGTTCAAAAAGCATGGTCGATAACGTAGAACACGTCAACTGTGCCTCGCAACTGTCGGAGGAATCATTTCGAAAGCAGGTGAATGAGTTCTGTGATATGGAAGAAGAACCTTATAGAGTTAGGAATACAGGCTGTAAACATAAACATAACTTTCTCCAATTATTGAAGGCTCTTAGTCTAAAAAGACGCCATACTTGTGCCGCTTCGTTAGAATTTATGGCATCCTCGTCGTTTATACTCACACCAGCATCTAAGAACCTTCCCATCGATGAAGATTGGTCTAAGGTCACGTTGTTGTGGCCGTTGTCAGCGTGCAGGCTATTGATTCTTTTGTGTATGGTTAATGGATAGAGCCAGAACATATCGCCAGTAAGAGGCATTCTAAAAAGGCTGGTTTTATATGGACGAACAAACCAATGGTTCTCAGACGTTGACATAGGATGTTTTGTCACATGTAGTCTGACGAGGAACGCATGTTGAGCAAAACTTACAACCGCCATGGTCAGTCAGTTGTTTGTCGGTGGTCGTAAGGATGATGCAAACCGCCGCTGTCAATTCAAAAGTGTTAGGTAAATAGTTTACAACCGATTTTGTTATTATCGATGATATCAAGACATATCATACATTCATTCATTCGCGCATATGAAGGACACTGGATGAGGCGTAACCAGCTCAGCAAGCAGAATTTAGACAGAGATTTTGCTATATTGACCACATTCAAACTGTGTCCAGGAGTTTGTCGGAAATACCACCTGTCCCTAGTTCTGACTTTTGTCGACTATAAAAAGGTGCTTAACACTCGAAACGAATGCAATCTTACTAGTGCTCGTCGACTGAGTGGACCCGTTCTACATCAGAACTCTATCTAACTCTTATAGGAACTACACCACAAAAACACTGCTTTTTCATCGACCTCTAACCATGCCTATAGAAAAAAAGGTTCGACAAGGCGACACCATGTCGTCAAAGCTGTTTAGTTCTGTACTGCAGTAGGTAATAAGGTCAACTGATTGGGATGAGAAAGGAATATGTATTGACGGAAAATTCCTATCAAATCGTTTTTTCGCGGATGACATCTCATCTCCTCCAGAAGTACCATCAAAAACAGAGACGATGATCAATGAGCTCAACGAAGCAGGAAAAAAGATCAGACTACACATAAATCGGAAGTAGACCCAGGTCATGAAAAAACGCATAGTGTGAGGGCGAACAAGCTGAAGTACATGGCTCTCTGATTGTGAAGACCACTCGTACGTATAGCTTGGGCGTTCAACGAAAGTGGAGAGCGACATAAAGAAGGAGTTACACAGAAGAAGGAAAGTAGCTTGGGCCGCATTCGGGCCTCTCAAAGAAGCCACCGACCAGATGAAGGACCCGAAAATCCGCGCTCATCTCTTTGATTCTACGCTCCTCCTAGCGTTCTGTTATGCTACAGAGACGTGGGTTGATACTTCAGCTACGACAAGAATGCTTCGAACTACTCACAGAGCGTTTGAGCGATGTTTTCTGAAATATAACCAGCACTCTCAATATTCAGCTGAAATGTGAAACTCTGATCTTTGAAATTTGTCCCATCTTCGAGATCCAGAATATACATCGATAGCGAAACACAGATGGGCTGGTCACCAATGAGAAGAACAGAAGACAGTTGGACGAATAGAACTTTAGAATGGACTCCACGAGAATACAAAGGTCCCCTAGGACGGCCACCAACACGTTGGGTGGACGTGTTCATAAACAAAGTTAATAAGTTGCAGCCGCAGCTGAAGTTATTTCCCAGATCACGGTATGAGACACGTATCTACCACTATACTCGAATAAAACTAACCACCACCACGGACAACTATTGCGAGGGAAAGAAACGAATGGCAAATGTGCTGGTTCCTCACAACTCGTGAAGACGTACCGTCCAAGTATCCAACTAACTAATAGTGAAGGACGGGAAGCGCAGTGGTTACGATCCCCTTCATAGCATGGACGGGCCAACCTACCAAGGTGCTGGTTCGTAACCGCTCCCGGCCTACCAAGCCTCTCATCCCGCCGGGTTTGGAGGATTGGTTCCGGACTTATCTAGGATAGTCCCACTCGTTTTAATAGAACGTGGAAACGCCCTAGCCCGACAACCTCAGGATTCCATCGAGAGTCCACTCGGTTAGCACCAAACGATATTCATGACGAAGATGAAAATCCTTAAGCAGCAGCCGAGCCCACAGGCACAGAAGTTCGAAGACCATCATGGATGGTGGACACGAGGAAACGAATCGAATGCAAGAACTGCTGGAATCGCAGTGTGGTACATGTGGAATCAGACCATATAACAATAATGTAACAAAACAGCTACTAGTAATTAAAAATTAATCAGACAATACCTCCGAACGGTTTACCGCTTCATCGTGGCTGGGAGGTGCTCCTGGGTGTCGGACTGCGATGTACAGCGAGGGGATTCGTCCGCCCGGCAGTGTCTCCAAAGCTGAGGAGACCGGTGTTTCCATCAGGAAGCCTAGCTAAGAGTAAACCAATACCAGGATCTGCCGCCGTCCTGGTATCAAAGCCGCATGGTGGCAAAGCTCTCTCTTATCCACAAAGCCTGCGACTGCCTGTGGTGGTGAAAACCTGGGGCAGACTTTCGCCAGGCTGAGCTCGGGATTCCAGGGAACCACAATAGCTTAACCAGCAAGTCTCCGAAAAACGGTGATTATGCTGGAGTCCGCACAACCAATGAGGACGAGCCATTCAAGTATCAAGTAAGTAATGAGACAATATGCGGCACACCCTATGAATGCACAGGAGGTGCTACATAGAGTGGCCGTTGCGGTGTCCTAAAAGGAACTCATAGTAGACAATGGGTCGACAACTTAACATGGAAGCGCAAATCAGCAATCAAAATTATCTATCCGATTGACGACTATGGCGAAAAACATTACTATAGCTATAATGATGCTGAGATATTTGTAGAACTAAGGACCGCTGGTGTCTGCGGTGGGGATCGAACACGCTATTCCTCTTTCCGGCGGCTAACGCGTTCACCACCACATTATGCAGAGCCTTAGTTTCGCTTTCCAACAACAAAAAAAGTAAACATAAGTAGGTAAACACCTCTATTAAAGAATCATACAAAGAAATCACAATCCAAGCAGGAGTTCAGGATAATCCAAACGTTTACGACGATGACCAAGCAAACCACCAAAACGCAAAACAGAAAAAGTCAAATTAAACCTAACAAACATAAAAGAACCTCACAGGCACTTAACATGGCTAGAATTCACACCAACAATGCTCTTTCACGTGTTGAACTAATTTTTTTTCGATTTGTGCAAACCATAAAGCGGCGGTTAAAACTCAGCTCGATGTCGAAAACAGTAAAATCTGTCAACAAAACTGGTTAAGAAGAATTCGCTGCTTCTGCACTGCAAAAAAAATGGCCTTTATTCTGACGGGAAGGGGTGCATGTAGCGCAATGGTCGAAGGCCCCCTGCAACACAAACATAGGACCGATCCCCGCCCCAGGCTCACCAAGCGCTCCATGCCTGCTGTGTCGGTAAATTGGCACTAGACTTGTTTGCAAGGATAGCAGTAGTGTCTCGATACATCGGCAAGCCACCGCAAGTCATTGTAAAGGCCATATATGCATTCAATCACCTCCAAACGATGCTAAATGAAGTTGAAAGCAAGGAGCATCCCTTATGGATTGATCAATGCCGAGAGCTCTATCCTTCATCCTTTACTCAAAGAACGTTGATTATCTAAGAATGAGTTCGTGCGTACTATTCCATATAAACGGTGCAGATTTCTTAAGTGTTATAACCCCTTTTGGATTAAGTTCATTAGAGTCCTTGATGTTGAGTAATTTTGGATTCCAATGCGGCGTTTATCGCATAGTGTGCAGATTAACGAAAGTCTCCTTCGATAGCAGTAAGTTAAAAGCCAGCAGGTAACAGGGAAACGCTAGAAATATCAGTGTTAACCGGAGAGATGATATCTCTCGAGGTACTATGGTCCGAGCTACGATGCCAGAAAAGTCCGACAACACATCATCCTTTTGAAAGCAGACAGTTACATCTTCATGACCATTCTACACTGCATCTTCACCGTTTGAAGTTTTCCGACTTCGTCCGCTCCCATTCGAACTACAAAAAAGTCCCTTTTACCCCTAAATTGTGATGTCGAGTTTTTCTCACCTCACTTAGTTTTTATATGTTACCTGACACTTAACACTTGAATGGCCCATCCTCACTGCTTGTGAGGGCCCCAGTATAATCTCCATTTTTCGAAGATTTGCTGCTTAAGCCATTGTGGTACCATGGAATCCGGAGGTCAGCCTGGCCAAAGTCCGCCCCAGGTCTTCATCGCTATAGATAGTCGCAGCCGTTGTGGAACAGAGGGAGATTTGCCGCCACGCGACTTTGATAGCAGGACGGTGGTGGATCCTGGTATTGGTTTACTCTTAGCTAGGCTTCTTGATGGAAACGCCGGACTCATTCTCAGTTTGGGAGACCCTGCCAGGGATGAATCCCCCGCCGTAAATCGCAGCCCGACACCCAGGAACATCTCGCAGCCACGATGAAGCCGTAAGCCGTTGGGAGGTGATAGGTTACTACTTTCAGCTAATAGACTATTTGTAGGTAACCACAATGGCTAGGCCAGCAAAACACCGAGAAAATGGAAATTGTGCTGGGCCCGTAAATGCAGTGAAGACGGCCCATTCAAGTATCGAAGTAACCAAATGCTACTTCCAACAACTCCAACAACGTTGATTGAGAAAGTGGCATGGGAAAGAGTTCTATTAAGCTGTAATACTGTGCCTGAGAGAAAAGAAAACCAAGTGGTACACAACATGGAAGTAAGCAAACACCAAACAACTGCTCACGACATCCCCAGTTTTCAGGGCTCAGTGCGGCGTCCGCGATTGCGAACGTGATTTCCGCGCGAGACCCGCGCCACGACAGACACGTCACACGCGTCGCTGTCTGCCCGCGTTTACCCCATTCTCTCTCATACACTCCGGTGTCTGGTGGTGCAGGGCTTCGTCCTTCGTCGTCCTGCCGCGCGTATTCCGAAAAAAAAAAACCCATAAAAACTGAAAAAGTCCAAAGCACTCCAAAAAAACAACTAAAACCTTGAAAATCCTTAAAAAAAAGCTGATACTGCTTTATCCAACAAATCCAAGGTGGGTGCTTTTAATTTTCTCTTTCCTCTTCATATTCCTTGTAGCCGTATGTTTTGATGACTTTGTATTTGTTTCATTGTAGTTTAAATATTGATGAAAGTGTGACTCTCTTGAATACATGTGTGTTTTTGGCAATGTAATAGTCTGATTGTTCGAATTCTGCGATATCGGAGTGTTAGACAAGTCCGTGACAGGGTTTCTATGAAGGGGATTTCTTTAGAAACTAATATTGTCACGTTCTAACATCTTTTATTTCCATCCGGTCTTTGGCTAGGTTTATTTATTCAAATGTTTTGTGACACCACTAGTGCAATGCGATTAAGGTCTAACAATGTCTTCCACTTCGCTTACTGGTGCGGCGTCGGGTACGACGTCGTACTCGATGGCATCGCTCTACGTCGGCGATCTCCACCCGGACGTCACGGAGTCGATGTTGTTCGAGAAGTTCAGTACGGCTGGTTCGGTGTTGTCAATCCGTGTGTGTCGTGACAATGCTAGTCGCCTGTCGCTTGGATACGCATATGTGAACTTCCAGAATCCAACAGACGGTGTGGTTTCTTTCATTTCTTCTATCGTTTGTTCATTACAGACATTGCTACAATAAGTGCCTTTGCGTACGTTTAGGCATCTTCAATTCCTCTCTATCTAAAGTTTGGGGAACGCTGTGATTAGGAATTGGAAAGTGTTTCGAAAAATATGCCGTTTGTGTTGAATGCCTGCCTATGTTAGGGTTTCCCAATCGATAAGATATCTTGTGCTTAAGATGAGACCTTATTGATATCCATGAATACAATACAACCTCCGTTGTCAGAGACCGCTTCAGTTGTTTCAAATCAATATTTGTGTTGCGAGGAAATCCAAGCTTACGAAATCGCTTTGTTCAGCTGAGCGCGCACTCGACACGATGAATTTCGACACTCTGAATGGAAAGCCGATGCGTATCATGTGGTCGCAGCGCGATCCAGCCGTCAGGCGCTCTGGAAATGGGAACATTTTCATCAAAAATCTGGACAAAGTTATCGATAACAAGTCCATCTATGACACGTTTTCCTTGTTCGGAAACATCCTTTCATGCAAAGTAAGTGGTTTTGCGAATACTAAGTTATCTGTTGCGAGTTCTGTCTCTAGGTAGCTGTCGATGACGAAGGTAACAGCAAAGGCTACGGTTTTGTTCATTTTGAGACCGATGAAGCCGCTCAGTGTGCAATCGACAAAGTGAATGGGATGTTGCTAGCCGGAAAAAAAGTGTGAGTACCTTGTTTAGCAGCCGTTTCATATCCAGGAACTTTTTAGAATCGGTTTCTGTAATCTACTTTCTCGTTTTTGCATCAGTCTTTTGAAGGTTGCCATCAATGCGAGATTGAAAGTCTTGTATATTCTCAGTGTGCAAACCTTTGATGCAGTTTATTTATCATTATAGATGTTCAAAGTTACCATTATATTTCAGCAATATGTAAGATTAAGATATAGTGTAAAGTAAATGTGAAAGTTTGCAACTAAAATTTCTTCCCCGAAGGTCATTTTATCGTCCAATGTAGTTAAAATGTTGTCAATATAGAAATCATATAACCTTTGTTTATTATTTGTTCATGGTTTTAGGTTCGTTGGTAAATTTCAACCACGAAGCCTACGTATGCGTGAGTTGGGCGAGTCTGCCAAAAAGTTTACCAATGTTTTCATAAAGAATTTTGGCGAGGAGCTTGATAAGGAGAAATTAGAGAAGTTGTTTGCACCATTCGGCAAAATTACAAGTTGTGCAGTAATGACCAATGCAGAAGGACGGTCGAAAGGTTTTGGATTTGTTGCCTATGAAAACCCAAACGAGGCTGAAAAGGTTGGCATATTTATGTGGTCTTGTAAAACTGTTGATCTTTATTTCCAAAAATTCTATTCTTATAGGCTGTTGCCGAGATGAATGATTACCATCTTGAAGGCACTGACTTAAGACTTGTTGTTTGTCGTGCTCAGAAGAAAGGAGAACGTTCTGCTGAACTGAAACGCAAACATGACATGCAGAAGGTAACTAGTGTAAAGTATTAGTTGTACTCTTCTGCTTTTTGTGCTTATTTTTGTTGGCTACATCTCCTCAATAATAATTTAACAGAAGTCGACTTACGTTGCCCACTTTTGTTTACGTCATTGCTCAGCTTAACTGTCGAAAGCTAACCACTTTCGGCTTCAGGTGGAACGCATGCAGCGTTATCAGGGAGTGAATTTGTATGTGAAAAACCTTGATGATGCTGTTGACGACGAAATTTTACGAAAGCAGTTCGAAACGTATGGCAAGATTACCTCTGCCAAGGTATTTCGTTTCCTTTAGCATCTGGTTACTGCATCGTATGTTTCCACAATATTAGGTGTTGTTCATTGTCCTTTGTAGGTTATGACTGACGAAAACGGTCGCTCAAAAGGCTTTGGTTTTGTATGCTTTGAAAAAGCCGATGAGGCAACAAATGCAGTTACGGAAATGAACTCTAAGATGGTGTGCTCAAAGCCCCTCTATGTCGCTCTCGCTCAGCGCAAAGAGGATCGCCGTGCGCAACTCGCTTCACAGTACATGCAAAGACTGGCTAGTCTCCGCTTGAGCACAAATGTGCCTGGCACAATTTACACACCAGGGCAGAGCGGTTATTTTGTGTCAAGCGGTTTACAGGTCCGAAAGATTACTCCTGTTTTCGTTTGTGTCATTTTTTTACGATTCTAATTTTTTTTCGTTTTTGTTAGAATCAGAGAGGTTTTGGTCACACTGGTATTACGGGGACAGCGATGAGAAGCACTGCGCGAAACTGGCCAAGCAGCTTCGGTAGTCAGAGCCCATACATCATGTCTAGTGGATCTGTATTCCAGGTACTACTATTTGTTTTAAAACTGCAAGGGGTAGTTTCCCAAGTATTTATAGTTTTTACTAGTGAGGAGACATCGGTATATTTCAGAGTAGGCCTCGTCTAGCTAGCGGGACAATAACTGGGGTTCGTGCTCAGCAATTCAATGCGGGCGCTGTTCAAGGAGGTGCTCGTCTTGCTGGCCAGAGAGTTATCCAGGGCGCTGTCGCTGGTCAACCTCAACCTAGTGGCCCACGGACTCAAACAGTTAGTGGTTTTAAAACATTGAAGTAGTGAACGTTGTTTTTTATTTGGGTAATGTTATTGTTCGAGTTGAAGCCCTTGTTTGAGGGCAGACCAGCCACTGGGACTAAGGCAGGTGCTTCTCCATTGTTCCAGCAATACCATCAACCTCAGCAGCAACGAACCGCCCAAGGGATCGTAATCGGAGGGCAGGAACCACTTACCTCGCACATGCTTGCGCAGGCAGCTCCACAAGTTCGTCTCTAACTTCGAAAGTTATTTCATTGCAGGGTTTTGTAATCATAATATTGTGTCTTATACTAGTGTTTTTAGGAGCAGAAACAGCTTCTCGGTGAAAGAATTTATGCACTTATTGAGAAAATGTTTCCGGGACACAAAGAAGCTGGAAAGATCACTGGAATGATGCTGGAGATAGATAATTCGGAGCTGATAATGATGCTCCAGGACATGGAGTTGTTTAAGTCAAAGGTAGACGAGGCGGCTTCCGTTCTTCAGTCGGCTGCTAAATGCACCTAATGCGTTACCGTTTTGTGTGCTAACATCTGTTTGTTTTATATCATTGCCGTAACTGAAGTGGTACGTTGCTGTTGGTTTATTGTTTTCAGGATTTGAGTTTATTGCTTTTCGTTGTTTAACGTTTCCTTTTGGAACGTGTTGAGCACTGAACCAAAGTTGTCTGTCGTTGATAATAAAGACATCTTGTTCAGGAAATGCGTTGGACGGTAGTTTACTGCATGCAACTTTATTGCGATTGATGTTCACACAAAGGATAAAGGAATAAAGCTTAAGGCGTTGATCAATCCCTGGAGGGGTACGCCATGCGTTCGGCTTCACTTAGCATCTTTGGAGGTGGTTGAATGCATATTTGGCCTTTACAATGATTCGCGGTGGTCTACCAAAGTGTCGAGCCAATGGTGCTATCCTCACAGACAAGTCTGTCGCTAGTTTACCGTCCCAGGAGGAATGCAAGGCTTGGTGAGCCTGGGTGAAGGGATCGATCCCATGTTTATTGCAGGGCACCTCCCACCACTGCGGCACATGACGTCCACATGTGTGGTAATATGTCGAACATTAACGTTCAAATTATTCGTCTCTATGTATATGTGATGTTAACGTACTTTTGACATTCACTTATGCATGGCAATCTGCACTATCCTCCCCTTGATTGTCTTTGTTTCAACTTCGGGGGCTGAGGCTGACTATCATTCATCGACTACACATGTGTTACTTGCGCCACTTCGCTCCCGTTCATCGTGGAGTGTCCTGAACGGACGTCAGTAAAATTTCCATTCCTTGCTGTCCTCTACTAGAGCTAATGAGAGGACTCTGCTTTTTGTGGATGTACGAGGTACCCTAAATCAAATTCTTTCTAAACGGGTTTAGTCACCGTATCTACCTTGTTTATCTTGTGCGACTGCTTAAAATACGTGTAACACAATCGAAAACCGGTTTTCTACAACAGTTGATATCAAGACCTATAATAAATCTGATGCCACTGATTCTGAGAATACTAGCGAATGCGGTAGCTTCGCGTGTTATCTACACTCTAGCAACGACATCTAACTTCAGGTTTGTTGCGGATTGGACGACTTATGATCCAGGCTTTATGGGCATGCTGGTTTTTTGAAAATAAACAGTGTGTGGCACTTATAGGTGTCAGTACTCGCGAGAGAATTAAGGAGGTTGATAGAAGGTGGGGTACATAAGAGCCCAAGATTCCTTATGATTTGCATGACATGGAGGTCCTTCTCTTTGCAACGACCTGTTAGGTTGTCAGAGAAACACCCAGTGCAGTTCCTCGTCTTGGTGGCCTCCAGATTTCCGACGTTTCTTTTAGGGCAGATAGATTTGCAGGATGGTTCCCAGGCCGTCCGATAATAGAACATGACAAAATATTTCCGGTTGAATCAACCACTCACTTTTCGCGACTTTTGCATGTTTGGTTTGTTACGAAGCCTTAGGCTTTTGAAGTAGATGGCTTCATCACTGAATTTGCTGTTCGGCCAAATTTTGATTGCGCACTTCTCGGATTGCTCTCAGAACCACTGAAACCAATTTTCGTTCTCGTTACGTGACTGTAAGATAAGAACATTTCAGAAAGAAACCTCCAAACAGTTACTACTCATATTTTGCCCGTACCAATATCCGATAGTTACGACTACAGTATTCATTGGTTTATAATCAAAACAAAAAAGCCACAAATGTCCCAAATCCCAGAAACGTATGCTGACAATGGCCAAACTACAAACACTGCATCCACCTATTGCCCAAAATAACCCGTTACGGTGAAGTACCTGGTGAAAATAACCAGTACACAGTTGGTTCGCAAATATTAAACTGACCAACACGAAAGCTTGGAAGGGCCCATAGCCACCGATGCTGTAGTCAAAATACTTGGATTGCTCGTCTTCACAGGTTGTGAGGTCCCCAACATAATTTCCGTTCTCCAGAAGTTTGCTTGTTTAGGCATAGAGGTTCCCTGGAGCCCCGAGGAGTCTGGCGAAAGTCTGTCCCAGGTCGTCACCACTTCGTGCGGTCACCGCTCTTGTGCAACAGAGGGAGATTTGCCACCATGGGATTAGCTTGATATCAGGACGGTGGTTGCTAGATCTCGGTATTGGTTTATTTTTAGCTATGCTTCCTGATGGAAATGCCGGACTCGCTCTCAACTTGGGAGACCCTGCAGGCGCGATGAATACCCCCGCTGTACATCACAGTCCGATATCCAAGAACACGTCTCAGTCACGATGAGGCTGTGAACCGTTTGGAGGTGTACTAGAAATACACCGATAAATGCAACTGATCAGTGGTAACGATGAACATAAATACCGTAACAGCCACTAGTATTACTGCCTTAAATATTCTACATTCCAGCGAAGTAAATTTGTCCCTAAAGAAGCTGACTATGAATGGGATGACCAAAATTCCACGCAGTCCCACTGACTCTCGAAAACGAAAAGCCTTTGATCAAGTTCAATTTCTCTACGGTTCCATTCCTTGATCAGATTTTATAAAACGTTGGAACCATAACGTATGCACTGTCATGTACCTTTCATAGAAAGGTTACGTAAACGTCGCTTATGTAAACAATGGAAAATAAGCACACCAAGGGTATTCCACGCATCGATTTAAGAATGGGATAAGAGATCGAACTCCACATAAACGACAATGTTCACACATCTTCCATAACTGAATTGAAAACTCCAATCCAAGTCCAGACGAGGCTGTTATATTTTGATTCCGATGGCAGTCGGTGGCCTGAACGATATCTTGATGACAATCGATCGTTTGAACAATTTGTTTCATCTGCATGTTCCAGATGCAGATTTTCTTGTCCTCTGATCCAGATACTATCCATTGTCCTTCCGCCAGAGAAAAATTTGGGGATAAGCAATACATTTGATTAAGATGTCTGGTGTAAGTCTTTAGGCACTTGTCCTTGAAGAACATATCTTAAGTGTGCTGTTGAGCGTCGAGATTTAGAGGTACATGCCATTTGGTGAGAATTTAAAGAAAGCCACTGGAACATGGTCGTTGTCTACCAATTTCTTCACACATCGGAAATTCTTGGCTTCCCAAATCTTGATGCGACGATCACACGAGCTCGAACACAACACTAATCCGATATGATCGAACGCCACCGCTGAAACATGCTTGGAGTGAGCATGCAGGATCTCTTTGCAGAGTCCTCTGTCCGGATCCCAAATGGTCACAATCCCGTCGAGCGATCCCAAAGCCATCATCGCGCTGAAGATTGTATGTGCAACAAAAGACGTAACTAGTGTGCCCCTCAAGTGTTTTGATGCACTCCACCTCCCAAATTTTCACTGTTTTATCGTCTAACACAGAGGCAAGGAAAAGCGAGTTGGGACTCCATGCAATATCGTTTATGCTATTCTTGTGTCCATTCAACGTCTGCGTAAGTTTCCCGTACTTTACAGACCACATATAGATAGTCGCATCTACGGAAGCTGAGGCCAAATAAACACCGCAAGGCGAAAACTTCAATGACGTAACAGTCTGTGTATGACCAATCAACGTCATTAAAAAGCAATAGTTTGCCAAACCAGGCTGAGCTGGAGGCGCCTGCTGAATAATAGTGGGTGCTTCAGATGCTTCATGGGCTCTAGTATTAGTAGCCGTATTTGAGTCCCCAGGCTCCATCTTCATAGGCTAAAAATATTAAAAAAATTGGATGGAGATCTTAAAGAAGCTCGAGAATACGAGATACAAAAGATGGATAAATGCAGCAAAGTATAAATACTAGGGTAGAAACCTTGTAAAAAGAAAAGAAACAACTTGTCATAACTGCTTTATTTGAGGACACGGTTTTAAGCTACCTTCTTCTTTAGAATATCCAGTACATTGAGGATCATTAGAAGGATCACGGACTAATAACACAATATATACACAAGCGAGTCGCACACATATGGCTCGAACACAGCTTAAATGACAAGTCAATTTCAATCATCCCGTATAGCGAACAGATACCTATCCGATCAAAAAAAAAAATAAAGTAATTAGACCCAGAGCATGTGCTCTTATAAAGCAGACATAACAGTGTTCTTTCACAATCACAATATGTTGCTTTGTAAAGCATTACTTACTTTATTTTGATGCTTGAACAAGACGTCCTCAGTAATTGTGCGGACCCCAACATAATCTCCATCATTTCGGTGTCCTGGTGATCTAGCCATTGCGGTTCACTGGAGTCCCGCGGTCAGCCAGGCCAAGGTCTGCCTTAGGTCTAATACTCTATAGGAACAAATATTAGCAACTTCGTTTTAGTGTTCTTCACAGTCTTCACAACAATCAGTTTAACAAAGAGTGAGAGTTTACCTGCATTACTTTGGCAAGTAGGGTCTTATAGAACACGTCGTCTGTCGTTCACTCAGCGAAGTTTTTCTTATAACCCTCATATTCTTGATCGGATAATATGTACCACGATGGTAGTACTTTTGCAAGAATTTTGATTTACCCTTTATGGCCTCAAAACAATTTTTCTGAAAGACAGCGGAAAAATATCACAGTCTCGCTGCTAGCAGATTGAGATCATCCTAAGGAAAGAGCATTTCATTCATCTTCTGTAAAAATGGTAACGGACGGGAAAGTGAAACTAACTAAGTTGGTGATCATTCTCGGATTTGCGCATATTTCACTCGCTGCTTTTCTGCCATAGTGTGCACACTCCATATTCAGCTTTCTCCTTCGCTGTATGATCACATTCTCTAGAACCATAACCAAATATCGCACACAACAATACGTTTAGCATAACAAACGCTAGATGGCGTGGTTTCCCAAACTGAGGAGGAGTCCGACGTTTCCATCAGTAAGCCCAGCTAAGCGTAAACCAATACCATGATCCACCACCATCCTGTTATCAAACCAGTTGCATGGTGGCAAATCTCCCTCTGATCCACAGTGGCGGCGACTACGTGTGGTGGTGACGACCTACGGTAGACTTCGGCTAGGCTGATTTCGGGACTCCAGGGAACCACAGTGGGTAAACCAGCAATACTCCGAAAAATGGAGAATACGCTGGGGCCCGCACGATCAATGAGGACGGGCCGTCCAAGTATCCAAGGAAGTATAGTAATAAATATTAAGTATGTAAGTATCCATTACGTTCAATGCATAAGAAACTCACCTATTTCTGTTTATACGCTTCATCTCACTCAATTTCCAATACTCGTAAGCCACATTTTCACTTCTGTCAACAGTAGGCATTCCACCAAATCCGATGTTTTCTTCTTTCTTTTGTTTTTCCATCTCATTTTCTTCACTTAATACTTGTTGGATAAACTGAATGTACAAACATAAATGAAAATAGTAATGAGGAAAAGTAGAGAACGACATTAAGTAACCCGTATACTATCTTTATTTCGCTTTTCCTTCTTCCTGTCCTCCTCTTTCTTCAGTTGTTCTTGCAACTGCTTTTCATTTTTCTCCTCAAATAGCGTAACACGGTTTTTCTTCCGAACAGACACCGAAAATGACAAGTGTTATCACCAAGAAGAAAATCTCGAGTCAACACACAACAATATGAGTCCAAAAGAGATTCTAAACGAAGAAAAGCTTATGAATACATCGCCGAAACAGGAATTCAAAGCACTTCTACTCCACAAAGGGAGGACAAAATTAATCCAAGAGAGAACTCACTGGTTTTAATCTTGGCAGTGTATCGTCTTCCTCCTCTTCGTTTGATTCTTCTTCACTATCCTCTCCTTCCTCATCTTCTTCAACTTCTTCTTTAATTTCTTCCTTAAACAAATAGGAAACTGCAAACATTATGAGGGATCGAGTTCTATAAATTTCACTGACTTTTGCCCTGAGATCCTCCAATTCTGCCTGTTTGGCGCGTCCTCTAATTCGACGACGTTCGAATTCCACTTCCTCACTCCCACCGTCGTCATGTTCCTACATAAACTGAACTAAACATCCATACAAAGTAGAATCATATTCCCCATTGCCAAATCAGGAAGGCCTTGTAATACGATAGACACATTATAGGCACTGCAAACCTTCTGCTGTTCTTGTTCAAGATCCAGTTTTCTCAAACGTGGTCTTTGTCGGCGTTGTTCAATAGCTTCTGCATCATCCTCTACATGTTCTTTTTCCGATATCTAAAAGGATAGTAGTTTTGCAGTGAGGCAGTGAGGCGACATCCTAAATATAAGGTTGGAATAGAAGTTCCCGCCAAATCATGGACATAGTTCCTACTTCATGTTTAAACCAGCTTGCACTGTGTTGTATACTGTGTTTTCCTCTTTTTTTTCGATGCTGTGAAATGTCTCGTAAGGAGGACATAAGAAGGCACAAGCATAGCTGTATACTAATATCGGATTCGGTTGGACGGCCGGAGAATGCCAGCCATCACGCTCTACAAGTTATCTCTTCTGCAAATGAAATTTATGATGACGGCTGATGAGAAGATCAACGCCGTCTTTAGGCCTGCTACCTTTAGCGCGCATGAGATATAATCTAGCTCAAAGGCTTTGACCGAGATGATCCGAGCCGCGAAAATTTGCTTTGGCTGGTCACTTTTGACGAAAGCACTAAGCAGGAAACGCGACCTACATCTGCGCTCGTCTAATCCGTTTTCCTTCACTTTCTGCTCTTTAGTAAGTATTCCTAGGTTTTGGCTCGTTATATGGTCTTCGAATGGTTGATCGATTACTCTCACAACCCGCCGTCTTCCTTGGAAGTGGCGGGATCGAGGAAGTAAATCAGCAAGTTTCCGTCCTATCCTTAACGTTCGATATGTCGTCTCACATAGCTGTGCGATATCCTCCCGCTCTGTTAACATTTCTGCGAGTGATTTCATACCTGCAACAAGTTCGTTAAAAACACGAAGAAGAATTACATGTAGTGTACTTCTGTCCCAACGGCTTAGTACCTCATAGTAACTGGGAGGGTAGGACTGTGATGTACAGCGGTGGGATTCGTTCCTCCGGACGGCTCCTCCAAGCTGAGAAGGAGCCCGGCGTTTCCATCAGGAAGCCTAGCTAAAAGTGAACCAATTCCAGGATCCACCACTGTCCTGTTATCAAAGCCGCATAGTGGCAAATCTCTCTTTGATCCACAAGGGCAGCGATTGCCTTTCGTGGTGACGACCTGGGGCAGACTTTGGCCAGGTTGTCCTCAGGATTCCAGGGAACCATAATGGCTTAACCAGGAAGTCTCTGAAAAATGGAGATTATGCTGGGGCCCGCACAACCAGTGAGTACAAGTATTAAGTATCAAGCAAGTATACTTCTGTATGCAGTCTAACACTAGTCGACGCTTGCCCAGAGCAGTCCTGAGTGTAGTTTGAGCTAGAAGTTTCATCGAATATGTGGCGTCACCAACGTTGTTGACAGATGAATAGGATCGGAAGTGTGGAAGTAAACGACGACGTCGACTGATACGGTTACCGAATCTTTCGACAAGATCTCTTGAGGAGATACGGCATAAAGCACGATCTTGGAAACAACGGCAGCTTACATTTTTCCATTCGGACTGCTAATACTCGCCCTTCAATACACAAGGGATCGATTCCCCTGACCCAGGCTCAGCTAGCGCTCCATCCCCCCGGGGACGTTACCGTGGTACAAGACTTGCTTGGGAGGATAACAACACCGGCTCGATACGTCGGTAGGCCACCGCGAGTAAGGCTAGATATGCATTCATTCACCTCCAACGATGATTAATGAAGCCAAACGCATGGCGAACCCCTGAGGGATTGACCAACGACGAGAGCTTTATCACTTTATGTTCGTCTTGATAGCACATTGTACGCCTAATCCTTGATGCTTCGCTGTGGAGCGAAATGGTAACTGTTCGTCTTAAGATGTGATTTGGCCTGTTGCATTGTTTACGAAAATTTGCTCAACTAATCGCACAAATCGTTCACATCCTGAAAGAATTTTAATGCTAAAGCAGAAAGCTTCCACCCGATCCCCAAAATCTAGCGATAGCGTAGACAGAATTAACAGGATTGTCCTATATCAAGGTTTCAGAAAAAAACCGCACTTGATCAGAATTGAACATGTCAGTGAGGAAGGTAGGCAACAGGTTATCAATCTGCATTTGAATACAAACCGTACACAAACCTTGCCAGCTCGGTGGATGACACTTACAAGACGAGTCACTTGGAGGAAGCGCTTATGCGTTTATCACACGCGGAAATATCAAGTACAACCGTTAATTGCGCGGTAATGTTAACATGAAGCGTGAAAAAAAACACCTAATCAGTCCAGGTACGAATAGTATTGTAAACATCGTAGAATTTCGACAATCGAAGTCGGTTTCATTGCCAACGTTTCCCGGCTGGGAGCCATTTGTGCTGTTCTGTAACGTTGAACGCACGCGGACGAGTTACACTAGCTGACCCAGTGACGACGTAGTTTTCGAAAAGTGAAATTTCAAACAGGCGTCGGTTAGCGCTTGAGGTTATACGTGGGTTTTGTCTTTCTTAAAGGTTTCCTTGATGGTTGAAGTTTCCGTGTTGTCATGTGTTCCGTTGTTTTGTTACCTTATGGTACTTATTCGTCTCTCATTGCTTTAGTATCCGCGTGATTAAGTGATGGGTGACAATCTGGTTTACGCAGGTGAGTTTTAAAGAATTTTTGTGCTCTTTTCTTTTCCTATTCCACAACGATGTTGTCGTAATTTTTTGCCATATTCACTTTCTTTAGTGCGTGGAAGCAGTGGCCTTTCGTTGAGACGTGGACTAGGACCTGACTCTACTACTCTTTTCGAAGATAAGGAGTATGTTTTTTTTTTTAAAATGTTTCTAAGGTTTTCCTTTTGATTTGCAAGGAGTGACACTGAGTCAGCTATATATAAGCTTGCCTTATAATCTTGTTTTTAGAAATCCGAAGGAGAACCCATGTAGTGCTTTTCAATTCAGCAATGATGGGCGTATCTTCGCCTACTGCGATGGACGAAAGTGAGTTGAATTGGCTCAGTTCTTCTCTGGAGTCTTGCTTTGAAAGTATTATGTAGAGTGCATATTTTCATATTTGGTACATAGGATTTCTTTAAAGGACTCGCGCTTTCGAGGTAGCTTCAGGAAGAGAGATAGTGAATGTAGAGCTGAGAAGAACTAAGCATATTCTCTTCTCTCCTCGCGACACCCACATGATCACCTACGAACCGTACGCAATCTATGGACAGAAGGTCCGTTTCGACTATCCAGAATTATGTTGCTGTCGTTACATCGTGGGAAAACGGTTGTTATTTCTATTGAAGGTATCTGCGGACCAGAAGCCAGAACCAAATTTGCATGTCTATAGTATCGCGGACGGCAGTTGCATTACCACTGTTGTTGCGACGAAAGAGGTAGGTTTTGCAGCTGTTGTGAATTTCTGAATGATTTGAAATCGGAAGTCTGGAGAAGTACGCCGTTTCAAAATGTAATCATAAGAAATTACTCATTTTCTGGGACTCGGCTTTTTGCGCACAAACAGTTTCCGAAAAGTAATTCTGTAAATTTAAGTCGCTCTTTGATTGTTTCTCTCTAAGTAAGTTATTATTGCAATATTTGATGCTGATCCAATCAAATGCAGGCTACATGGATGCCACAGTTCTCTGACGACGAGAGCGTTGCTGCTCGCCTTGTTGGAAGCGAATTACTTCTTCATAAAGGATTCCAATTTGGTCCTTATTGTGTTCTTTGCAGTAGTTGTATTGAATTATTCCAGTCTACTTTTGTGTGGTTTCAGATGACTACTACCAAAAAATTATCGTGCCCAACACTAAGGTATTCGCCGTCAGTCCAGGTCACTCACCTCATCACGTGGCGTGTTATACATCGGCATTTGCAGTATGTCTGTCTTTTACGTTTCCCACGCATTCATTTTGTAATAAGTTCTTTTTTCAGTCATCACCAGGACGTGTCGAAGTTCGTACTCTTAATCCTCCATTTGCACTGATTACTGCGAAAAACTTCTTCAGGTCGGACAGAGCCATTTTGCAGTGGAATAGTAAAGGTAGGTGCAAAAACCCAGTAATTGTCACAACTATAGTACTTCTTTCGCATTATTTTGTGACTTGGCAGGAACTACTTTTGTTGTATTCTTTTGCAATATCATAATCTCAGCGTGAATTTTTGGGTCTGAAGGTAGTAGAGGGTGCGTAGTTGTGCAATTCCAGTGTTATTTCGAAAGGCCTAGGTTATTAATGCAAAAAATTTCTATGTATTAGGAAAAGTGGCGCTCGTTGATTTTTAAATAAGATAGTGAAAGATAATTTTGGAGATGTATCGACAGTTTTAATATCGAGTTCACATAGACAGCTTATATTTAAAGTAATCCAAATATGACGCGAACAGTTTCCAGCTTTGGAAATTTGGTAAATGTCATAGGTACGGTGTTCAGGAAGTGCCGTTCTAGTGTTATCCAGTACTGACGTCGATGCTTCAAACCAGTCATATTATGGAGAACAGCATGTCCGTTGTTCTTTGTAATTTCATCTCAAATTCTACAATTCTAAACCGCATTTTTAGATCTACCTATTGAATGTTACTACACAAGAATCTTTCAAAGTCGATCTACAAAAAACGGGTCCTGTTCACGCTGCAAAGTGGAATCCTAATGGGAAAGAGTTCTGCGTTTGCTACGGTTTCATGCCGGCCATGGTATGTCATTATAGATGCTTTATAAAGTAACACTCTACGTTCGTTCAAATATTTGGTATAGGTAAGCCTGTTCAACACTCGTGGAGACGAAATGTTTCGTACAAATGAAGGTCCACGTAATGATGTGTTTTACAATGGATTCGGAAATTTGTTGTTAACATGTGGTTTTGGCAATCTTGGTAAAGGAAAAATGGAATTCTGGGATGTGGAGAAAAAGAAGCAGATAGTGGCTGTTAGTTTTTCTTCTTTTTTTTTGTTTTAATATAGGAGTATATTTTTCTATCCGTAAGTTGTTTTAGATTGAAGTTCCGAACACAACATTATTTGAGTGGGCACCAGATGGTCAACATTTCCTCACGGCTACCACTACTCCACGTCTACGCATAGATAATGGATACAGGTTACAGATTTAATTTAGAAGTTTTCGTCGGTGAAGTTTCAGTCGGATATATGTTCTCTGTGGTCCTCCCAAAACGGAAGTTTTTCCAATTGGCTAGTGAGGAAAATTTTGCGCTAAGAAGATGTTTCTTCTTGAAAGCCAGGTTGTGTGGCTTACACAGTGATAGAAATATTGTTAGAAGAGTTGTTAACTCGATTGACGGCTCACGTTGTGTGAATATGCTACGTTGGACTTTTAGTGTCGTGTCGCTGAACACAATTTCAAGCTTGTGTTATAACCGTTTAGCACTAGTACTATATTAACGGTGTGGCGATATACAGGAGGGCGAAAAGTACAAAGGTCAGTACCAAGAATGAGAGAGAACTGGTAGGGAGCGTTGTAGAGAATTGTGGAAATAACTGGACTGAAAGCTGTCAAAGCAGCTTATATCCGTCCTAGTATAGGCGTGGTTTAGCTAGAGTAGTTGAAGATACAGTTTGCAGTGATAGTTGGAAGCGGTAATCTGAAGAGATGGTTTGAGGAGCAGGCGGCAGAGCTTTTTCTTAGGCAGTACTATCTGATCCGGATGGTTTAGCGGATAGTACAGTAGCAATGAATGCGTTGATCAGAAAAAGCGGAACATGGGATGCTGTAAAAAAGTTTTTCTAGAAGACATTGCCGTTTGGAGATGATCAAGAAGTGGGAATGCAATGCTTATTCGATGAGGAATACTCATTAGAGAATTAATGTAAAGATAGAGAATATTCGGTAACTATCGAGAATGTTTTCTATACAGATTACCAGTTCAGCTACTGGTATTTCTTTCCTCCTTTTTCAAATTTAGCTTCGACTATTTATAGAAATGAGTCTTGATTTCTTTGTCCAGTACAGGTTTTAGAAAGGAGGATATTTCCTTTCCTTTAGAAAAGGAGCTTTAAAGTGTTTTCTGTAGTTTCAGTTCATTGGTGGTTATTCAATTAATTCGAATTTCTTTAGAATGTGGCATTATTCTGGGAAGTTGATCAATGAAGTTCTCTGTGAATCGTCAAGTGAGGAACTATGGGAGGTCAATATAATTCCTCTTACTCCTATTAATAAGCTTGCAATAGTTAGCTTTAAGGTCAAATTTCGCCCAATGCCTAGTTACAATAAGTTCGAGGTAAGGGAGCTCACAAAAGCAGAATTGGAGTCCGCCGGTTTGCTAATCAAGAAGAAGGTGAGACGAATATCGTTCATTGCTTCTGCTTATCTACTTATTTGGTTGTTTTAAAGGATTCTACCGACCCCAACAATAAACAGCCAGTTGGAGCGGCAAAGCCAACAGCGGCCTACGTTCCCCCGCATCTTCGTAAAGGTAATATATCAACCAGCATTGCTTTTTATTCTAATGACCAGCTACAATTATGGACCATGTTTGCTTACGTTGTAGGTCAAAGTGCAAATGCAAGGAGCCCTATCACGCCTAAACCAGTAACTGCTGTAAAGATGACGGAAACTGAGAAGAAGATTTTCGTTATCAAGAAAAAGCTGAGAGACGTTGGCGTGCTTAAGGTTGGTACTCGACTTCAATTTGCAGCTTGTCAATTTTGAAACATTTTAGGCTCGGCTTGCAAACGGCGAGGAGTTGCAGACAAGCCAGTTGGAAAAAATCGCGAAAGAGCCTGAGTTTCTTGCTCAGCTCACTGCACTTGGAGGTGCCCTATAAAGAAGGAAAATTAGGCTTTCTTGTAAATAAAGTTTTAGCTGTGTGGCTTTCATGGATTTCTGGATCATTAATATGATCTTCTCTCGTTTCCACAATTAGTATCTTGATGTATTTTGATTATTTTTTGAAGTCGCTATTCATAACCGGTCTACCTGACGACCTTTCGTTCTGGTTCGAATTTCTGTGGTTTGTCCTCGGGTCATTTTATAGGGAATGTTTTCCGTGTGGCCTGCAATCTCTGTGAAATCTCTTTATGTGCGCAAATGTGGTGCAGAATGCGTCACACCAATTGGTTGGATTTTCTTTTCGCAATTGGTTGCTATTAGATTGATTGTCGATTTCAGTGACTGTTCTCTCTTCCCACTACTGTCATTTTGCATGCTGGTAGTACCAACCGCATTGCATTTATGATCGTCTCCTATTGATAGGGTTATATGTACTATTTTATTCTGTAAAATGCTAATGTTGATTATTTCTGTTCCTTTTAAAGGGGATGAATTTTCAATTCGTGAGATGATGGTTAGTTTTTGAATCGTTACGTGGATGAATAGATATTTGCACAGAAAAGAAAGCAGTGCTCGTTATTACGAGATTTGTACCATGCGGTATCCCAGTGTTCTTTTTTATGTCTGACACTGGTAATTGGTGATGACTTCACTAAATTGTAACGAATGTTTTGAGGATTTTGAAGGGCGATTGGGCCGAGGTGAGGTTGTTGCAAGCGCTAGATCCCTTTTTCATAAAGCCTGGAAATATTTCCCGATATAAGTGAGGAAAGCGGTGTTGAGAACTAGTCTTATTTTACAAAAGTAATTGATATAAAATTCGTCGGCGTAAGTGTTTTCGCTTTGCCACATAGTAGCGATTATTGTCATCGGTTTACCTCCTGATCGTGGCTGGGAGGTGTTCCTGGGTGTCCGGCTGCGATTACAACGGATGATTCATCCTCCTGGCACGATCTCCCAAGCTGAGGAGGAGTCAGGCGTTCCCATCAGGAAGCTCAACTAAGGGTAAACCAATTCCAGGGTCCACCACCGTCTTGGTACTGAACTGGTCGCATGATGGCAAATCTCCCTCTGATCCACAAGTGCAGCGACTGCCTCTGGTGGTGACGATCTGGGGGTGACTTTGGCTAGACTAACCTCGGGATTCCAGAGAACCACAATGGCTAAGCCAGCAAAACTCTGAAAAATGGAAATTGGGCTGGGGCTTGCACAGCGAATGAGGACGGGCCATTCAAGTATCAAGTATAGTTGCAGATGAACCTGCTGCAACTTGTCTAGCATAAGGTTTTCTGTGATAATTAAACTGTTTCCGGATGGGTACCTTGGTATCGAGCTTCACGGGAATCTCAAAAATAGTTCAGACACGGGTTAGGAAAGCGTGAACAAAAATTTTTTATATCGGTGTACACACACTTGCTCAATCGTATGACGAATGTGGTGGCATACGCACGTGGTCTAGGACTTCTGCGGCCTCTGAGGCGTCTTCGTCTTTGATAAATTTTGCGGTTCTCAAATTCAAATACGGTAGAAGTTGTTTACGTCATTATCACATTGCAGCCAACTGTTCTGTCATCTCAACTACTCATCTACTAAATTTCTACTAGACCTTAATCAGAAAGTAAGACGCTCTTCCTTTTTCTCGTCTCATTAGAACTCAACGGATAATTCTAGCTTGTGATAGGATGAACTGATAATTGTCTTTCGCTCGATCCACTTATTTATAAAGTGTATTACATGTGATCGTATTGAATAGACCGTACTCTGAAACGAATAAGTTGTTTTCGTCTAGATGTTTTTTAAAGATATTGTTAAGTTTCCTTTTTTTCTCTTACTTTCACAGTATCTACCGTTCTTGAGGTTTATATATTGGAATGAGGTTGAGGACGAGTGAGGGTTTTTCGAGGGGTTTGCGAACAGCTCAGAACACATTCGTTGAAAGGTGCGCTAAAAAGTTTTCATTAGTCATTGATGTTGCTCTGGAACTGACTTCAGTATGGATATAATGTGCTGTTTACAGAGACCTTGCAGGACCATTTCTTGATGGTCGACCGAAATTCTCGGAAATAGGGCAGCCAAATCCATGGATTCATCCTGGTTTTGCTGATGATTTCATTGAATTCAACAACGTCTTCTTCAATGTACTATGAAACTTAATTACTCATCAGTTTTTTTTGTGTTATGACAAAATACAGTACGATGTCGTACTTTTCTAAATTGAAAATGCGATGAGATAAGAACCTTTTTGATTCGATCTATGAATAGCTAAGCTGTCTCTATATTTCTCTTTTTCTTCTCTTTTTTAGGGAACATATAAATCAGTGAAGGAAAACTCATACAAGATAGACATAAGAAATCATAAAGGTAGAATTTAGTCCGAAATGTGAATAATTTTTTTTCTTGTCTACGCGTTTTCAGATGTACTTTTAGGGATCACCTGACTTTTATTAGGAAAGAATTCCATTTCGAACTACTTTATTTTAATCTCTTAACTTCTATTCATTTCTTAGTCCTTCATGATAGAGTACGGTATTTAATGAAACTATGAGGATGCTGATATGTGAGCTAGACTCGGAGACTCAGTTGGGCTTCGAACTTGTGATTGATTACCCTTACCGTGGTCTGGCGTGCTATCCACCACACCAGCCGAGGCTCTTGCTTTGCTGTTCTCTCAGCCTTATTTTTATTCCATCGGTTCTATTATGCCTATACGCAACAAATAAAAGTTAATACACTGAAATTTTAACTCCACTTTCACCTGAACTAGGTTGAATGCCGATATCTGCTCCGCACATTATTCTTGTTGACGGGTGATTGCTGATGGTAAATAATAGAAAAGTGGTTGAGAGAAATGCAAGGTTTGACTTTGTTTTTGCAAGGACCTTGTTTGACATGGTGGATAGCATTTCAACTCTCTGTAAGGGTTATCGCAGGCTCAAAGCCCACATTGAGACCCCAGTTTTGCTCGTGTCTCAACATACTTGTTGTATTACCTAATTTTAGTTCCTTCTATAAGAATGTGGAGATTGAGGATACTATTCAAATCATAACGGATTTTGTTTTTCTCCCGTTATTAAACCTCAAAGTCGTTTGAGTTCGTTAAACAAGCACGATGGTGGTTTTCAATGACTATAGGTGAACTCAAGTGATTATGGGTTCATTTTCTGAGAACGATTTTCAGATCACCGAAGAAAAAGCAGAAAAAGTAGGCCGACAATGGAGAAACGACTTCCTTGAAGTTGTGCGTTTCGCGACAGATACAGGTGTCTTATATGGTTATTTATTTTATATATTTTAGTGAATTTCGCTTTTACTGAATACCAATCAGGCATTGGTATGTGTCCTCACTTCTGTATGCTTTCTGTGGATATTACCTTAGAAACTCTGAACGTTGCTTAATAATTCTCCAGAGAACTCTTCTTTTTTCGTTTAATTCTTCTAATTGCCAATTCTCATCCTTATTAAATGACTGTTTTCTGTGCTTTCCCGATACATCGTGTTTTTCTTTCATTGATTCTTTATCTAGTTTCTTAACGAATTTCAATCAATCAACTGATCAACCAATGATCCTACTGATTTTAAAGGCACACCAATAGTATTGTTCACAATGCATCATCCGGTTGTATTCACATCTGCGAAGATTTGCAATTATCAGGATCTGGTTGAACCTCGTCGGCATACGACCATTGGAGAAATTGCTCATGTTCTATGTGTAAGGTGATTGTTTAGTAGTCCACGAGGTACAGTAGTTTTTTTTTTCGTTTATTTTTCGATAAACCATCTGGCTAGATATTGTTGAGGAACCTTCACAACGCTTGCAACCTTCTTAATTTGGATGACAGTTTTCTATGTCTCTCAGTAATTTCGTCTTCTGAAAGCCTTTAGTTTTTCTGATATTTTGTTTGCTCTATTTTCACCAAAATGATTAGTTATTTTTATTATATATGCATATATGTGTGTATATATCTATGTACATATACATGTATTTCTGGTATGAATGGAGATTGTATAGCGTAACGGTTAGAGATGACCCTCCGAAAGGCTGGCAAAAGCATTCGCAAAGCCCAGCGGGGCTTCGCTGGTTGCAAAACCAAGATGGTTGAACTCCAACACTCAGACAGAGCAGACAGAGCTTCCAGAAATGCAATGGAGAAAATCATTCACGATTAATTCCCGGATCTCTTCAATAACCAGGACCTACGGGCCTCATACGAAATAAAGAAGGATGGATATGTCGTACCGCAGGTTCTACCTTCCGAAGTCCGACATGCTATTTCGTCGGTAAAAAGTGAAGAGCACCAGGATCGAATAGGATAAGATCGAAACACCTGAAGAACCTTCCGCCAGTCCTCGTAAACACACTGGCTCGGCTTTTCACACGTTACCTATCTGAATACAAGATTCCTACCCAGTGGAAGATCAGCAAGGCCGTGATGTTGTACGAGAAGGGTGATCTACATGATATCGGTAGCTATCGCCCAATCTGCTTGCTGTCTGTCATCTAGAAACTTTTCACTCGAGTCATCCTAAACGGGATTCACAGAACACTGAACGAAGGACGGCCATGTGAGCGAGAAGGGTTTCGAAAAGGATTTAGTACGATGGACCACATCCACACTATAACAAGACTCATTGAAGTATCGCGAGAGTACAAAAGATCGCACTCTCTCATTCTCATCTATTTAAAGAAGGTCTTTGACTCAATCGAGATAGAAGCAGTCATGGAGGCCCTTGATAATCACGGAGTCCTTACTCAGTATATAAAGGTTGTCGTGAGCTATACAAAGATTTCATAACCAACATATCACCATTTGCAACGATATTAACATCGACGTTAAAAGAGGGATTAGGTAAGGCGATACTGTCTCGTCAAAATTACACCAATTTGTCGCCGCCCTTGAGAACGTTGTTGAAATGTGACAACATGGGAGTGAAAATCGATGGTCGGCAATGACACCATCTCCGCTTTGCCGATGACATCGTTCATATAACACCACACATTAAGTAGGCGGAAGGAATGCTTGTTGACATAGGATAACGCTTGTGGAGATATCAACCTCCGACTAAATCCTGCATAGCGATATTCATGAGGAACGGATTAGTTTTGTATGCCGATTCACGCCCAGCGAAATAAATCTCTCATAATGCTTAAGTTACGTATGTCGAGGTCGTGAAATCAGCATGATGAACGAGTTAGCTCCAGAGTTGAGCAGGAGGAAACGAGTGGCTTGGAGAGCTATCAAGAAAATTGACACTGTAGTGAAAAAAAACAAGCAATACCGGACTACGTGCCCATCTTTTCGAGTCCACGATTTTCCTTGCCTTGACGTATGCTTCAGCTACCTGGTCTCTGAGTAAGCAAGATGAAAGATCGCTCAGCTTTAGTGAACATGCCGTCGAAAGGAGGCTAGAGCTAACCCTTATCACATAGTTAAGGGAAGGAATCCGAAGCTGCGAACTATGTGGACGATCAAGATTCATGCGCCGTTTTAGGCGCCAAGCTGTCGAAGACATGAGGTGCCGAAACGAGCATGGACTATAACCAATCTACAAGAGCCGTTACTGAGCAGTTTCTTTGGGATTTCGAGCGTACTGCACCAAGACCACATGCCTAATAGTCAGAGTTTTTCACGAAAACCATAGAAAGAAAGATATGATGCTCAACAAGTTCGTAGAGCGAGCAGAACCCACTGGGCTGCTTTTGCACGTGATAGGGAAAGTGGAAGATTTACTGGTGCACGCTCGAGTCACTAGACGAAGAACGGGACAGCCGGTGATAGAGGTGAAACATGGTTTATCTCCAAGGGTTATATGTAAGCCAAATGCTTTGTCCTTTAGAACCACCGTTCAAGCATAACGCTAACGAAATGCTTCGATACTTTGAATAGGGGTGCACAATTACAGTATTATTGGCGTTTGTCTTACCTTTACAGTGCTAATTTAAGTACTGTATCTTTGGTGAGAAAATCTTGGATCTTTGGATCTTGATGATCTTGATGGCCGGTTCATGTAGCTCATTTGACCTCCATCTTGATGATGGGTGAGATCTTTGGTATCTTCACATGGAGTCCAAATCACTACGATTGCGTTAAAAAGCATAATGATGACTAGTAACTAATCTGGAAATATAAGTGATCGGTCAATAGAAATCACAGCTGAGAACATACTTTTCGAAATCGACATTCAGATAACTTCGGCAATGGTCGCTAAGGTGTAGTTGTTTTCCGAACTTCAGTAAATTAACACTGTTAGTATTTTATTGGGCAGATAACGACTATTTTTTCTACTATCGTCGTTCGATTTTAATGCAACAGTTTACCTAGTTTAAATTTCAGAGTACTATCCCTAGCCAATGCGCGAGCTGTAAGTGTTGGGATGACAGTGGCCTGTTCATGTAGCTCATTTGACCTCCATCTTACACTAAATTCTATTCTCACCGGAAAATCTGAAGTTGCAACTACACATGGAATGAATCTTCTGGGAACCAAGTGTGTCCCGGTTTTTTCTCTTTTTGCATCTTTCTTTCTGCTTTAAAAACATTTTTATTCATGTTCAGGTCGTTTGTATCGTTCGACGAAGTGTCACAAAGCCGTTTGACAGCATTTTATCGGAATAACGATTCTTATCTACGAGCTTATTCGTTCGCTGTAGCGATAATGTGCTCCGGGGCATTTTTTAAACAATGCTTATTGCGTATTCGAAGCCATTTCATGAGTGTTCCGTGCATCGATGAAAGAAGAATATCCATGCTTACTTATCTGAACTCATTAGATAAAGTAAAAGTCCAGCAAAAGGTTTTGGAAATGAAAATCAAGAATCAATCACTGACTAGGTACCATCGATTGAGATTCCCTAATGTGGGTTTTTGGATAGTTGGGACGAAATTTTTGCTCGGGCATGGAGATGTTATCGAAATTGTGCTTCATAAAAGAGGAAATTGTACGGTTTTATACACACCAGTACTTCAGTTTCCACTTTTTCTTCCCACTAGGAGACATTGTGTGCTGCCACCATTCAATACGTTATGTCAATTTGCGTTAAACTTGATAATCTCCATTGAGAATTGGAACACCATTGCCACTACCTGTGAAATTCACCATATTGTCGTTTTCGAAGGTTTTCCCACTGGAGACTCCACATCGCTAACAGGGCATACTGGTGAAACTATTTCTGCATCAGGAGCTGTTTCGGCAACACATCTCATTTTACTTATGCAAATCAGGCTACTCAGTAAGCGTGTTAGGCATGTTCTTACTCAAATAACGTTGAATCCTCTCAGATGCTCAATGTCGGAGGAAATTACGAAAAAAAAACGTGTAACGATGAAAGGCGCGCATGCCGTTCTCCAAGAAGAATTTACCGAGTCACATGAGCTCCAGAGGTTTCCTATTGGTGGGCAAAACGCAATTTCAGAAATTGGTAATATTTCAATTATAAGTCACTCACCGAGTAATCCCACTCTATGTCTTCTGTACTTTCTTAGTCAGAAAGGAAAGGAAATAATTCCAAACAGGTTCAGAAATGAATTTAAGTTACAACGGATCAAGGAGAACCTCCGGATGCTGGGCTCCGTTATATCCCCACCTGATGCCATAACGCTGCAGAGGTACTCCAAGCAGCAATACCTAGGTACTAATAACAGTTTGCCTTTTAGCCGCCCACTTTTACCTTCTATGGAGAAACTGGAATACGGTTCACAAAGCTGTCAGGAAGCTGGACAAAAAGATGATGTATCTTCTACGTTAAATTATATTAATACGTCAATAGGAATTTTGGCAGCTTCTTGTCGTTTACCTGGTGGAGTTAATGACTCTTCTGAATTTTGGGATCTCTTGAAAACTGGTAGAATTACAACGTCGCGGATACCTGCCAATCGAATCTTCACGAGAGACGTCCTTATTGAAGGAGAGAAATATGGCGCTACACTTGAAGGTGGAAACTTCATTACCCAAGATGTCGCTGGATTCGATGCAGCCTTTTTCAATATCTCGCTAAGCGAAGCGGAAGCAGTCGATCCTCAGCAACGAATACTTCTGGAATGCGTACAAGAATGTATTGAGTATGCTGGACTGACAGATGTTAGTGATCTTGGTGTGTTCGTTGGGCTGATGGAGAAGGAATATACTGATCTAATCGGAAGTAGCAACTCGATTCTTACTATGCTTGGTTCGATGAGCTCTTTAATTTCTGGACGGATCAGCTATGTAATAGGCAGTCATGGACCGTCTATGACAGTTGACACAGCTTGTAGTTCATCACTTGTCGCTGTGGAGCTTGCGATCAATGCATTGAATAAGGGCAGATGTTCACGGGCAATTGTAGCCGGTGTCAACCTGATCTTGAGCGAGAAAGGCCAAGGAGTTCGTGCAAGCGGCAAGATGTTGTCACATCATGGAATGTCCTTGAGCTTTGACGCTAGTGCATCTGGATACGGTCGGTCTGATGGATGTACGGTCATTGTACTGGAAAAAGTCAGGCCCGATGTTGAGTATCTGGCAAAAATCGTCGATATTAATGTCAATCATGGAGGAAAGAGCGTTTCACTTACAACTCCAAACCCAGCCGCCCACAAAATTCTCGTCAAGACCTTACTACAAAATTGTCCGCCTTCTGAGCTACAATATTGGGAAGCTCACGGAACTGGTACACGTGTTGGTGATCCAATAGAACTAAATGTTTTGTCTTCTATACTTAAGAGCATTCCGATCGGTACTGTGAAAACCTCAGTTGGTCATGGGGAAGCTTCCGCAGGTGCTACTGCATTGCTTAAATTGGTTCTAATGCTTCAAAACGACTATATTCCTCCTCTAAATCACTTTCATGTCCTTAATAGTCATGTCGATATAGACACTTTGAGATTGCCCATCGTTGGTGAAAATCGGGAATTGACGAATTGTGGAATGACCTCGTTTGGTGTTAGTGGCACGAATGCAGCAGCAATTATTGCTCGAGCAGCTTCAATATCTCCAAAGGCTGTTATCGTTCGTAAATATTGCTTGCTGACTGTCAGTGCCAAGAACAAGGAAGTCTTGACGAAAATGATAGAGGAACTATGTAAGTTCGCCTTGAATTCTGACGACAACATGGAGGACATTGCTGGTGCTGTCAACCTCTATAAAAAGCATTACATCCATCGGTGCGCACTGATCGTAGACCGTCAGCGTCGTGAGGTATGTAGATTCGTGAGTTCACACTCCGGAGTTGTTTCAGACGAGGTTGTCGTGATCATGTCAAATTCAGCAATAGCGTATGATATACTTCAGATTCCTTTGATTTTTCACCGTTTTATTACACTTAGTGAGGTTGGTCTCAGCGACAATGACAAGCTTCTAATATCTTTTATTGAATTCATTACCGGTCTTCTTGGCAATGTGAAATTTCAAGCTTCTAGCGGTAGAGAGCTGGTTATTGCCCTAATGGCACTTTCGTTTCTGCCGATTACCCAGCCATCCACTGATCTCCTCGAATTGTCGAGCATTTCCGATGTGGTTCAAGCATTAACAATGTTCGGTATTAGTCCTTCAAATAATGAAGTAGTTAAACGTTCCGTCTCGTTCTTATCACGTTTCCAAACAGGTGTCCCATCTTTCGAAGTTCTATGTGACCAATACTTTCTAATTAATCACTATAATCTCCTGTCTCTCACTTCGCAACTGTATGTAAATGGCTTTGAACTCGACTTTTCACGCCTTTTCGATAGACCAATGAAGTGCATTCGTATTCCTACATATTTCTTTGACCGCCAAAATTTATGGTTTACCGAAAAACCTCAAGTGTTTGAACACTATCTACTTGGTACCATAAAGGAAAAGACCGACACTTTGATAGCTTTCCGCAACTGGCTCGATGATCTACGACACCCGCAATTGTTCGGAAGTAATTGCCTTAACACAGGCGTTGTCGTAGAGATCGTCTATGCAGCTCTCGCGTGTCTTAATCTGTCGAGTATCTGTATAAAGGACTTAAAGCCACAATTTTGGAGTCTTAAAAAACCCAGCTGGCTGTTGACAATGGTGAAGAAGCTTCAGAGAGGATACGAAGTGTATGCTTGGATAAATCAGCACGATTTCTTTTCCTGTCAAATTTCTCCAATAAAGGAAAAATTCCGAAAGTTGCAATCTTCTTCCATTGGAAAAAAGTTTGAATTGCGTCCATTATATATTCCAGAATATAAAAATTCCAAAATTTTGATATCAGATGATCTTAACTATGCCACTGTTAATTGCGAGTTGGAAAAATCTCTTTTTGGAGTTATCGTTGAGATTTCGTCGAGGTTGAATCCTGGCAAGTCTATTATTTGGTTCCAGTTATTCTGTACTCCACGTAGCTCCTGTGAATTTTTTAAATCTAAGTATGCAAATGGAACAATGGTCGAAATATGTAATGAAGACGAACCATTTATGCGAATATACATGATGGATAGTCTACGTTTTTCCAGGAATCTTGCTAGAAATGTACAACCGCAGTTTGTAGATTCCTCAATGAACTGCATGGAACACTTAGAAATGTTTTGCAAATCGCGGAATAATTTCGACAGCTACAACCATACAGCTTCACATCGGCACCATGAAATAAATAGTATTGCGTTTGTGAAGTCAGACAGCAATCAACCAAAATCACCAGCAAAAACTATTTCTGCTCAAATTCGCAGAGAAGTTATAGCAGTATTGGGCGAAATTATAGGGAGTGGTGTTAGAGAAGCATCCTTGACAAGAAGCGATGATATTTTTGATAAGGGATTAGATTCCCAAACAGCTGTGGATTTCGTTCGTCGTCTCAATAAGAGCTTCTCAGGCTTACATATGACGTATGATGATTTGTTACAGCATAGAACGATTACCGAAATTTCACAGTTTATATCTACATCATATTCACGAGATGTAGAAAAAATGAAATCGCAGGAACGTCTTCCCTGTTCTTCAGTATCATCAAGATCGAGATCAGCACTGATCAGGGAGACGGAGGCAGAGCCGCATGCTCGAGATCAGAGCGCAGAATACCTTCAGTTCATTATGGAAGACGCTTCAAACTCAATAAATAGTGGTTTCGATGAGGTTCTCGAGTTAGTCATACGAGCGACTCAGGATGTTCTTCCCAAAAGTGTAGATGTTACTCAGGAGACCATACGTACTGGTTTCATGGAATTAGGTCTTGATTCACTTGCAGTTGTTGATTTACTAAGTCGTTTGAATGAGAAATATTTTCCAAACTTGGGTTTATCAACGACTGACATTTTCGATTACCCTTCTATTAAAGAACTGAGTGAATATATCCGGCAAAAAAAGGCGATTCATATTTCAAATGAGAAGAAGATGCTAAATATATCAGGAAATTCTGTTTTTGACCAAGTTCTCGACTTAGTCATACGAGCGACGCAGGATATTCTTCCCAAAAGTGTGGACATCAATCAAGAGTCCATACATGCTGGTTTCATGGAACTAGGTCTTGACTCGCTTGCAGTGGTTGACTTAACAAGCCGATTAAATGAGAAGTATTTTACAACAATGCATCTATCAACGACTGACATGTTCGACTATCCTTCGATATACAAACTTGCGGAACACATATGGAAAATGAATACTGAATGTAACCAAGGAAATGAATTGTGTAACTCGAAGGTAGACTTTTCTCCAGCATCTGAAGTCCGCATATATGCTGAAAGAAATGACAACTCTTCTAATTTCCAGTTAGCAGATTTTTCCCAATCTTTTTCTGCTTACTTCGAAACATTTGAGTGTAAGGATGTTGAAGCTAATATCTTGTTGTCAACAAACGACTTAAGTGAACTTTTATTAGTGAACTCATATACTAGCCGAAAATTTGTCCTCAAGTCTGATGAAGAAGTTGTGCCTTATGAACAGCTGAAGAAATTTGTTCCAGTAAAGACCGTTATCAGATTTTCTTCGGATGGCAGAATTCAACCTGCAGAATTCTTTTCATCCTTGCTTTTTTTGTCACACATACTTCTCTCTATCTGCACAGAAGTTAGTGTCACCGTTTCAAAGTTACCTACTCTCGCCAACACTTTGGCGCGCAGTTTCTTTAAAACTTTGGCGGCAGAGAAATATCCTAAGGTTCAATATATTTACACCGAACGCTTATTGGAAGTTCGTATTCCTAATGATGTTTGTACAAAAATCGGTGGGAATTGGCTAATAACTGGAGGACTTTCTGGCATTGGATTAACGATAGCGAGATGGCTTGCTGATGAATGCAGTGCCGAAAATTTAGTTTTAGTAAGTCGACGCATTCCTGATGACGCAGATCTTATGTTACAAATTGATCAACTCAAGAAAAGGACTCAGGTTATTGTCATAAGCGCAAATATCGCTGACTATAAGACTCTACAAGTCGCACTATCAAAGATTCCATTCAAATTTACTGGAGTAATTCACAGTGCTGGGGTTTTACGCGATAGCGTTATAGAAAGACAGAACTTGAATGCATTCTTGGAGGTTTTCAAACCTAAAGGTGAAGGATATCATGTGATTGATCGCATTTTGGAAGAGAATCACCATAATGTGGACTACTTCATCGTAATGTCTTCATTCACAGTAATCTGTGGAAACGTTGGGCAACTGAACTATGCGGTAGCAAATGCGTACCTTGATCATCAAATGTACCTTCGTCAAAAAGCGGGGAAGGCGGGCACTTCTATTCAGTGGGGCAACTGGCGCGACGTAGGAATGGCAAAAAAAATGCAGGAGACGCTGACTGACCTTGGTTTTTTAGGATTAACGAACGAAGAGGCTCTCGTCTTCATGAAATATGTAATCACCCATAAGCCACTCAAATTAGTCGCCGCAAAATTGGACTGGAATACTGTGCTGAGGAAACGCCCGGATATTCGGAAGGACATTGTGATGAGTGCGGTTGGCAATTTGGATGACTCTAGAACAAATAATGGGATACAACATTTCTCAGAAACGAATAACAACGCCTCAAACACCGATGCTCAACAAAGGTATCCTGTAGCGAATATAATCCTGCCGAGAAAATATCATCGTCTAACTGTGCTCGAAACCATCCCTACCGAAAATTATAGGCCTACCTCTGAAAATATTAGTTCAGAGAGATACCTCAGAACACGTAGTGGTTATATGTCAATGGAAAATTACTACACAGCAGAAAGCCACGTGCCGTGCGCCACCGAAGCAATTACTACGAATAAACCATCAGAGACTCAACTGAATATCTGCAACATATTCGGTCTGAACATATTTTTCGATGATGAAGACGACTTTCACCGTTCTGTTGCTGAAAACATCGAATACTTTACCGATTATCGTTGTTCATCGATGCAGCTTTCCTTAAGAAAACTTCACGCGATGCATGTTATAGGGAAATCTGTTACTGAGGTGGTGTCCAAATTGAAAAACCTCAGGTTCAGAAAAAGTAAGAGGACCTTGGGTGGAAAGAGCGTAATGTTGTTTGCAGGACAAGGAGCTCAGTATCCTTTCATGGGGAAACAATTGAGCACTATGTTTCCAATATTTAGAAAAGAGTTCGATCGTTGTCTTAGTATGGCAGACGCACTTATGGAGGACATCCCGCTATCGAGTATCATCGATAACCTGACTGACGTAACGTTACTTCATTTAACAAAGTATATGCAGCCAATAATATTTGCTTACGGATATGCCTGCGCGATACTATGGCGGTCTCTTGGCTTTGAACCAGACTTTTATCTTGGGCACAGCGTCGGCGAGTTGGTTGCGGGAGTGGTGGCTGGAACAATTACTCTTGAAGATGGGATTCGACTGATTGTAGAACGAGGTATTGCGATGGAAAATATCGCTAATCGAGGAGCTCTTCTTGCTGTGGATAGCCAGGTAAAAGAGGAAGTGCTCGGAAAGTTTAACGTTTCCCTGGCTGCAACAAATAGCCCTAAACAAATTGTTATTGCTGGCAGGCAAGAAGAACTTGTCAACGTGCTTAAATATACTAAAGAAAAAAATATTTACGGAGCATTCGTGAGTATAAAATACCCTTTCCACAGTTCCCTTATTACAGATGACGATCTTAAAGGACTCAGAAAGATTTTGCGAACAACCACATTCAAACAATCAAGAGTACCAATAGTGAGCAATGTTACCGGAAAATTGATAACAATTTTTTCGGAGGATTATCTCATTCAGCACTTGATATCTTCAGTGAAACTTGTCGACTGTATTCATACCCTAAAATCACTAGGCGTTACTGCATGGGTGGAGGCAGGACCAAGTAACACTGTAACATCATTTGTGAGAAGGACCCTTGGCTTCGACACAATTGAGAGACATGACATCATGCAAACGGCTTCTAATCTAGGAGAAGAAGCTCACAATCTTGTAGCTACTGCACTTGTCCTAGAAGCACGAGGCGTTCCAATTCGATGGGGATGTATGTATCAATGTGAAAACGAACACATTTCTTTAGATAGACCTCTCACTCTATTTCCGCAGATATTCAACGGAACGATAACGGAAAGCGACTGTACTGTTTTGAAAAATCACCGTGTCAACAGGGAAAATGTTGTTCCAGGAGCCTATCAAATTTATTTACTATTAAAATGGATCAACTTTAGCTCTAATCGGGGTGAATATTTCACCTTAATCGATACTAAGTTTGTTAACTACTGGAAGTTAGAAGAAGGACGCAATTTCCAACTTACAAGAACTAGCGCAAATGTGTTTGATATTACTGTAAATGGAAGGATCATTTGTACTACTCATGTCCGCTTTTACAACGTACCCTATGTTTCCAATCTCGACGTCAACAGAATTCGACGAGAATGCACAATTGAGTGCAGTGTCAACAGCTTCTACCGCAACTTAGCTACCAATGGTCTCGATTATCGGAAGCAATTTCAGGTTATAAAGTTGTTGAAACGAAGTGAAACATGTACATATTCAATTCTGCAATTCGAGGAGCCGTATGCAATTTGGACATTGATGGATGCCGCACTTCATGCTGTCTGTCCAAGTGTGGTTTATCGCAGACCTGATGTATATTTCGTTCCAATTGCTGTAGAAGAAATTTACTGGAACGACAAGATTGATCCTTGTTCCGCTCAGTCGATCATTACCACAACGAACAGAGTAGCGGAGAATGAAAAGTTCATACAAGCGCATGCATGCATTCTTGTGGACGGCGAATTGCTTTTTCATTACAAAAATAAACTAAGTGTTGTGTTAAGAGCAGACTGTTCACTTCCTCCAAAAGTAAGAGCAACACGAGATGGTCGTTCCACACAGTTACTAGAACACCACTGCTGTGATGAACAGACGATCGAGGAGGAATCCGAGAATGTTTCAGTCCAAGAGGTGAACAAGGAACGCCAAAATCTAGAGGAGAAAGGAGTGTACATTGTAAGCTATGATGGGTTTTTTTTCTCTGATGCATGTGACATCATAGAGTTATGGCAACGTATGAAAATTGGTGCTTTGCCGAAGGATTATCAGTTCCGGGACCGTCCTCCAAAGAACAGTATCTTAATGGATAGTGACATAACCTTGTGGGATCCAGAATTCTTCGGTATTAGTCCAAAAGAAGCACGCTACATCGATGTTGTTCAGCGCCTCATGATGAATTCTGTTCTTAGATGTATGGAACGAGCCGCATGGACTTCTATGCCTAAAGAAACAGGGGTGTTTATCGGAATGAGTGGTAGTGATTTTACTAACAGAGTGTATAATGAAATGAAAGATGATACAAGTGGGTATTTTAGCACCGGAACGAGTGCAAGCTGCGTAGCTGGTAGAATCTCTCACTGGTTGAATACTGAAGGACCGGCTATCGTCATTGACACAGCGTGTTCATCGTCATTCACAGCCTTGATAAACGCTCTAGATGCTATCGTTCAAGGAAGATGTGTGCATGCAATAGTAGGAGGCGTTAATGTCATTCTTCACGATACCATTACTCAAGTTCTTAAAAACGCTGGAATGTTGTCAGTGGCAGGAAAATGTCAAGTATTCGACGCCGATGCAGACGGCTACGTCCGTTCTGAAGCTGTTGGATGTATTTTGCTCTCGAAATGTCAATCAGCAGCAATGTTTAAAATATCGCACTGGGCCATAGGTCATAACGGAAGAGCTGCTTCCTTGAATGTTCCAAATGGAAACGCACAAGAGCGAATAATGCAGCTTGTAAGGAAAACGAAAATGGATCATGTAGAATGTCATGGAACAGGAACGGCTTTGGGAGATCCCATCGAGGTTCGGGTTGTCTCAAAATGTTATAATGGTGCTACCATCTCTAGTGCGAAGGCTCTAGTCGGTCATTCCGAGGCGGCCTCGGGTATTGTTTCATTGATATATTCTTTATTACAAATGAAGCACAACTATAGAAGTAATCAGGTGCATTTCAAATGTCCAAATCCTAAAATCGACTTCAGTAATCTAGCTGTACCAATCGTCGGCGAGGAACGTACAGTAAACCGCTTTGCCATAAATAATTTTGGATTCTCTGGTACGAATTGCTCAATTGTTGTCGAGAAGCATCCAGCCAAGGAAGCATGCAGGAAGTATTTATGCAAATATTGTCTTGCTCCAATTTCTTCCAAAAGCAAACATTCCTTGCAGATGATGATCGATCAGTGGAAGGTGTTCGTGAACGAGTGTGACCAAGCAATCGTGGATATTTGTGTAAAACTCCAGAGAGTGCGATCTTCATATAAATATCGCCATTGTATCCTCTATAACTACAAAAGACAAGTCGTTTGGGAAACTGGAAAAAACGTTCTGGATTCCGAGGGATGCGTTCCGACAGCTGGAGCTGACTTTGTTGACTTCTTCTACGGGAGTGGATTTGAGTCCTATTCCAGTAGAAAAGGTGATCTAGGTGGCTTCTGCAAATTAGTTATTTCAGATGCTCAAGGATACAATATTCCAGCTTTAATGACACCTCTTCAGTTCCACCAGTTCATAGCAAATGAGTACGTTAGAGGTCATTCCATAAATTGGTCCGAGTACAATCCTATAACAGTCACTGATGAGACTGTTATTCCTTCATACATGTTCAGCAATAGGAGATGTTGGCCGTTCAATGAACAGTTTGCCTATAACTTCAACTCAGTAGAAGCGCTCCAGAACACTATATACTACAAACGCACTCTCGTCATAGCACGAACAGTTGAACGTAATTTAGCATTGCCTGTTGTAAATGTTGGAAAGACAGTCAACCTCAGCAATCTTACTTATTATCCTATATCAGAGTTCCAATCATCTATCTTGGAAATTCGAACGAGTATTATACTTTTTCATCCGTACTCCTCCTCGATCGATGATGCCCTTTCACTGATCTCTATTTGGAAACTGCTTGCAGTAGAAGGACACTTTTTCTTAATTATCGCATGCCAAGGCAATGGAACTTCTTATACTGAATGGACGGCATTATGTCGAACATTAGCTAGCGAGCATCCTTTGCAGTACAAATTTGTTTCTTACTCTAATCTCCAAGACTTGGAAACAGAACTTTCTTATAATGACGCATATGAGTGCGTTTTCTACAAGAATTCGCGTCGATACGTTGAAAGGCTTGTGGTAACAACTCCAAAGAAAACGTCATGTTTAGCTCCAAAGCATTTGCTTATTACAGGAGGGACAGGAGGAATTGGAAGAATGATTATCCGATTCCTAAGTCCTTCGAAAACAACTGTTATCACGAGATCAATTAAGGACTATTCCCATGAGACTTCCGAAGAATTTGCGGAGTTGGTGGAGTGGGATTCAATTACCTCAGATTTGCCGAAAGAGCAGTACGACTTGGTGGTTCACTGTGCAGGAGCGGTTGAAAATGCGCTGATGGAATCAATGGACTACTCTAAATTTGAAAGCGTTTGTAAAGCAAAGTGTAGTAGTTTAGCCACAATCTTCGAAGTTGTTAAAGAGAGAAGTCCTAAAAAGATTGTGATCGCCTCATCCGTGGCAGCTGTATTCGGTTCCGTTGGACAAGCGAACTACGCTTTCGCTAATGGTCTGATGACGTCGATGGCCGAGAAGTCGGCGTTATCCACACAAGTGATTCATTGGGGACCATGGGAAAATGTGGGTATGCTTCAAGGAAAACACTTCCAAAAAGTGCGCGATCAACTAAGCAGTGGTGGGTGGGATGTCCTTAAGCCGTCAGAAGCACTAATGATTTTGAATTCAAATGTAACAAACGTGGTGGTGTTTAGGGGTGACTTCGAGAAAATAACGAAATTCCAAGTGCATCTACGAAAGTATTTGAGCGAAATCGTCCGGATCGATATAGACGAAGTACCTCCAAGACCAGAGCGTGAGAAAACTATACATCGGCTAGAAGTCAAGCAAAAAGCTGATGTGTCCTCTTTGGAAAACATAATCACTAATGTTAGTGGAATTGACAAACTTGATGGTGAAAGAGATACTCCTCTGATGAACTTAGGTATCGATTCTCTAATGATAGAAAAAATCCGTACTAATGTGAACACGAAATTTGGGTGCAGCATTACTTCTAAGGATATCTATGATAACTGCACTTTGGATAGATTGTCTAAACTGCTTGCAGTCCATACCGATACGAAGACTGAAACTGTCGTGCAGTCAAACGATAGCAAAGATTTAGCTATATATCTTGGGGAAATCGCAATTATAGCCTGTAGTGGGGCATTTTCCGGCTGTGAAAGCATCGATGAGCTATGGAGAAATCTTCTAAATGGCACTGAATGTATAGTGAGAAAGGAAACACAGAAAGACAATTTTATAGACGCAGCTGGAGTGATTAAAGACACCGAAATTTTTGACTATAAATTCTGGAAAATGACACATGATGATGCGTCAATACTCGACCCACAACTTCGTGTTTTTCTGCAGAATGCATATCATGCACTTGAAAAGTCAGGCTATATTCGAGAAAGATCTGACTTGAAAATTGGAGTGTTTGCAGGTGCAGAACCAAATGAATATGGAGATCCATGTGAAGAAGCTAGGGGAAGTCTTCGGCGAATGTTTATGCTCAATATGAAAGATTACGTTTCCACCTTCACTGCTCACATGTTGAATCTTCGCGGACCTGCAATAGGGATCTATTCTGCATGTTCCACAGCTCTCGTAGCCATAACCCAGGCCTGCAATTCCCTTCGGCTTTCCAGTGTAGATTTGGCGATAGCTGGTGGGATATCTTTAGTACTACCAGGACAGACAGATTACGAGATTCAAGAAGGATTGGTATTGTCGAAAAGTGGAGTTTGTAGACCATTTGATAGTGAGGCCGATGGAACCGTAAGAGGCTCAGCAGTTGGATGCGTCGTACTCAAGCGGCTTGATGAAGCTCTACGAGATAATGACCACATCGAAGCCGTGATAAAAAGCTTCGGGCTTAGCAACGACGGTTTACACAAAGCCAGTTTCATGTCTCCAAATTCTGAAGGTCAAAAAGAATGTCTTCGAGAAGCCTTTGCGTCACTCGCTGACAGTGATATTAAAAGAATTTGTTACGTAGAGTGTCATGGAACGGGCACACTTGTAGGTGATGAAATTGAAATGGCAGCACTGAAAAGTGTTTACGGGAAAAGGTCTGATTTATCGATTGGATCTCTGAAAGCCAATATTGGTCATGGGTTTGCCGGAGGCGGCATTGCTGGAATCTTTAAAGCGGTGAAAATTCTTCAAGAACATATCATACCACCACAGATAAACATCAACCACTTACGTAAAGATATCCCATTCAATGTGAACAGAAAACGAATCGTCCTGGCTCGCGGTTCTTTGGTAGCTGTGAGTTCTTTTGGCATTGGTGGAACAAATGTGCATATTGTGATGAGTGAGGCGCCTAATCGTGTTCTTTCCTACTCACCATGTACCGCACTACACATTCTTCCCATTTCGGGTTTAACACCAACTGCATGTGTTGCCCAATGCAGAGTGATTGCCAACTATCTTAAGAACCGTTCTGATGGTGAACTAGAAGCTATTGCAGCCACTCTTCAGTGCCGGAGGGAGCACTTCAAATTCAGAGTTGCGTTTGCTGTGACGTCCATTGAGCAGGCTGTATCACTCTTGAGTACAATTAGCGCTCCCACATCATCTACCGTACTCGATAAATCTAACATGTGTTTCTTCTTCGCTCCACAAGGGGTACAATATCCCAACATGGAGAAAGCATCACTTAGTCATGCACCAGTCTTCAAAAAAGAAATCGAGAGACTTGTCGACATAGCATCAGAGCTCTTCCAAATAGACTTTATGAAGGTGATGTATCCTGAAGCTTCCTCATGTGACAGAATCTCAGACCCTAAATTCGCTCAAATAGCGACATTCATAATAAGTAGAGCAATAACTGCGCAATTGGATTATTGGGAAGTTTCGTCAGATTGGCTTTTAGGTCACAGTGTTGGCGAATACGCTGCTGCGTGTTACTCCGGTATTTTAGATGAGTATTCTTGCATGAGACTATTGAAAGAACGTGGAGAATTGGTTAGTAGAACAAATGAAGCACGACTGCTTGCTATCTCTGAATGTAACGTTCCTCTTCCAGATGATATTGAAGTCACAGCACATCTTTCCGACAACTTAAAATGCGTGATTGGAACTCCAAGTGCAATTGAGACCCTTAAAATTGAGCTAGACAAGCAGAGGGTGTCATATCGTGAGCTGGCTACGCGACATGGCTTCCATTCCTCGATGATGGATTCTATTCGTGAAGAATTCCTTTTCTTCGCAAGAAAGTTGCCATTCCGTAAAGGTACTAAAAATCTGGTATCGAATGTAAACGGTGCAATTATTACCGAGTTTGATTACCAATATTGTTGGAATCACATGAGAGAACCAGTCGATCTCAAAAAATGCTTGGATACAATTCTGCAAGATAAAAATGTTAAGGTCATTATAGAAATTGGGCCTTCAGGTGTCGTAAAGCATCTCTTAGCGGAGAGAGGTGCCGAAGTGCATGTTGTCAACACGATGCTAAGCAGAAGAAGAGGTATTTATCTTCCTTTACATTCCCAGCTATATCAGTCTCTTGCCGACTTATGGACTCTTGGGTACGACGTTAACTTTAAGAAGTTTTTCCCAAGTAAAAAATTCGACCATAACTTGCCTGTATATCAGTTCGATCGACTAGTCTGTTGGAGAGAAAGCATCACAAAAGAAAGTGCCAGATATTTTAAGACTTCATGGTGTCCGATCAAGGCAATTCAGAAAAGGCATGAGCATATTCGGAATGGAAAAATACTACTAGTATCGAACAAAACGAAAGAATTTTTCTTTTCCGTATGCGAGCTATGTGAAACGTATTCCACTAAGCCGGCTGATGTTTCAACAATGGATGCAGAAGAATTGTCGAAATTCACGCTTATTGTTTATTTACCTGACGACAACTTATCTGACGTATCTGAGCCATTTCTACTGTCACAAAAAATCTGCTCAATAATTGTACCGTTTAAAACACGACTAATCGTCATCTCTCACACAGGAGAGGCAGCCCATTGGACAACGCTTGGACCGATTCGACAATATCACCTTGGAAGAGAGCGAAAGAACATTTTTGTGGATAACTCAGGACGAGTCCCTATTACTCAGTTTCTACCTCATCTTTTAGATATTAGTGAAGACGTTCTTCTTGCGACTTCAACTCACCTTTTTAGTATGACTTATGCTGATGCTCAATATTTACAGAAGCAATTTGAACTAGGAAAAACCGTCGTTGTTATTGGTGGAAACGGAGCGATTGGTCATGTATATGTCGACGTTCTGAGGAAAATAAACGAAGTTAAAAATATTGTTGTAGCTAGCCGACATTCCAAGGAAATCTCTGCATCCGATGTTACTCATGTCACCATGGATATTTGTAATAAGATGTCTGTTGATAGAGCTCTTAACATGATAAGATCGAAATACGGTGACATCGGCACTATAATTCACGCTGCCGGGGTAGCCACATTGCAGTCACTCGATAAAACAATCCCAGAAATGCTTTCAGTTATTGGTCCTAAAGTCGTTGGAATTACAAACATCATACAATATTTTTGTCAAAACAACCTCATGCTCGACAATCTTCTGATGGCATCATCACTGACCAGCATTCTCCCACTACAAGGGACACAGGATTATGCAGCGTCAAACGTTTTCATCGATGCATTGGCCTTGAATGGACATCCGAATATTAAACGCGTTCTTGCAGTGCAGTGGCCAGCGTGGCGTGACATAGGTATGGCGTCAACATACGGTAAAAGTGCCCTGCAGAGCATCCTCTCGAGAACCTCAATTTCTCACCATACTGGAAGACGAATAATCAAAGAAACACTAAATATGAGTGGAGTTGTTGTGTATGCATCGATTCATCCTTTAAAAATGCGTGACATAGTGGAAAATATGCAGCTTATGCGAGAGGCTTCACTGCCCAAAATAATAAAACAACAGCTTTCCCTAAAGGAAAAGGTAGCCTCAGTGTGGAGCGAATTACTTTGCAGAGAGGTTAGTGACGATACCAACTTCTTTAGCAGCGGAGGAAACTCTCTAAGTGCCTTGAGGGTGGTCTGGAATCTTAAAAAGTTATTGGTTATGGATATCACCGTTGATCTGCTCTTTAAATATCCAACACTAAGAGATTTTGTTGGAATGCTTCCAGCTGGACAACGAACTGATGAGGTTGACTTCTTCGATGTGACGGAATCTGCTGAATTGTCGTACGCGCAGGAGAATATGTACCTGTTAAACCAACTTGAACCTGGAACCCATTACAACATTATATTTTCTATCTCTTTTCGTAGAGCGACGTCAAAATTTTGCTTCCTGAAAACGATGTACTCAGTTCATTCACTCATTGCTCGTCAACACAGTCTTCGTAGTATATTCATAAAAAATTCAGATTCTTCATCACCTATTCAGGTTGTGCTCTCATTAACGGAGTGCTATCAGAATCTCACATATAATGATGTAAATCAAGACCAGTATAGCTCTCTTTTAGAGGCTGAAGAAAATTTCACTTTTAATCTCAGCGAAGTTCCTCTTAGGATTCTTAGCATACGTATGGGTGACAGTTATATCATTCTCTTCAACCATTACCATATAATAACTGATGGATGGTCCATGACTGTGTTGGCAGATGAGCTGAAAGAAATCTACAGTTTCTACTCTATTTGCGAAGAGGAGAAAATACAGCCAAAATTTTATTCTATGAGCGAATATGCTCACTGGCAACGTCGAAATGTTACGTTTTCTTCGGAACTCGAAGAACTTAAATTAATGCTTGACGGGAGGGAGCCAACAGTTCTGCCTCAAAAGCAACCCACGGGCCCGCGCAATTTCAAGAAACTTCTCCAAATTATTCCTGAACCGTTAGTTTCTTGCATAAAATCGCTAGCCAAAATCCATTGTACCACCGACTTTGTTATAACACTTTCAATTTTCGTTATGTGCTTGAGGAAGTTCAAACGGAATGTGCAAAATGATTCAATTGTCATCGGGTATCCAGTTTCAGGCCGGAACGAGAAAGTGAGGGATCTCATCGGATTTTTCCTTAACAATACGGTAATTTCTTTAGATATACGACTACAGGACAGTTTAGAAGACATTATATCTGCAGTAAAGAACAAAACAGCAACAACAAGACGATTCGAACACGTTCCGTTCCATAGACTCGTAGGAGCAATGAGCAGTATACGTGAATTAAACGAGCATCCCGTATTTCAAATTTATTTTAACTACCGTCACCAGTTGGACTTCCCAGTGCCTGACTTTCCAGATGCAAACGTGGAAATAAACCAGTTGTCAATGAATAAGATTTTCGACTTTTCAATCGCATTTGATGAGACGCCAATGGGCACAAGGGTGATGGTTGAATACAACTCGGGTAAATATCACACGGAGACCATTCAAAATTTTATGCATAGCTTATTGCACCATATTCGTGTTCCTCATAAAACACCTTTGAAAGTTCGTTGTTTGCCTAGAGACTACCCAGCATCAGTGTTTTCAAAATATCTCGCTTCTTCTAGGTGTACAGGAAGAGAAATTGCGATGCGACGAAGAAATGCATTTCTAACTTATGAAGCGCTTCAAGATCAGGCAACGAACATCGCTGACTGGGTCGATGATTCTTGGATCAAATACACAGGTTGTTGTATTCGTAGTGACGACATCATAACTTTAAATGCTGCATCGAACGATGCTATTGTCGTCATAATGGCTGTGCTTCGAGTTGGTGCTGCTTACGCACCAATAGATCCGGGTTGGCCACAGTTAAGAAGAACACAGGTCGCCGAAAATATCACCTTCAGTTTACATATTTCGAAATCTATGCTGTTTTCTATTTCTAACAATCGAGTTAAAAGAAAAAGACCATATTTCAACCGGATATCGGAAGGTGATTTGATATACGTTTTGCAAACCAGTGGTTCCACAGGTTCTCCAAAAGGAGTGGCACTGAGTCATAAAAATGTAAGCTGCTTCCTACAATCTGCAAATTCACAGACACTAATGAGACCAGGTCATCGTATATCCCATTCGGTCAACGTCGTATTCGATGTGAGCGTCATGAATATCATAGGCTCATTAGTGAACGCATGTGAGCTTCTTTTACACGATGACATTCGTAACTTGCCAGATGAACTCAAGAAACACAAATGCAGTTTTGCTTTCCTTACTTCTGCAATGTTTAATGCCCTAACAAAGACGGAATTGCACCAGATTGCTGAACTGGAGAAACTGTTCGTTGGTGGAGAAGTCCTATATGACAAGAATCTCCTCGAAGCGACGAAATTCGGACTTGACATCACACAAATCTATGGACCGACTGAAACCACCATTTGGTCGTTAACAAACAGATGTAAAACTTTGGCTCAAGAGGGTTCTTTGGTCGGATTACCCATGTCTAATGAGACATGTTGGATAAAACACCATACATTTGAAGGTGAATTAATCATTGGAGGCGCAAAGGTTGCTAGAGGCTACCTGAACAGTTACGTTAACAATAAATTCTGTGTGATAGACGGCGTGCCATGCTATTGCACTGGTGATAATGTCAGGATTCAGAGAGAAGGTTTTATCTATAGAGGTAGAATAGACGGAGAAATGAAGGTGCGAGGACACCGTATCGAAAGTGAAGAAGTGGCGAAGATAATCCTTACCTATGCACCGCAGATCTCACAAGTCAGTGTCGCAGTTTCAAACAATACCTTATTAGCATTTGTAGTTCATAAGGGTTTCTTAAATGAATCCAAAATCACTCTGAGATTAAAGAACATTCTACCGTCATTCATGGTACCATCACGATTCATCAGTGTACCACGTCTTCCACTAAGTACGTCGGGAAAGGTAGACATGGACATGTTGCTGAAGGAGCATGCGCGACGTCTTGGCCCTGCATCTGCTCGCCATAGCATCATCAGAGAAATGATGTCCTTAACTGAACTAAAAGTTGCGTCTATTTTCGAAAACCTACTAAATGTGCAAAACGTGGTGTCCGAAGATAATTTTTTCAGTCTTGGAGGTCATTCGTTATTATTGTTCGAGCTAAAGAGTAAACTACTTCAATCATTTGACGTCGATATTGAAGTGCACGAATTATTTAACAAGCTCACAGTTGGTGGACTTGCAGAGTTGCTTACAAATAAACTTAAGGAAAACCTCTACAAAGCCGATACCTCAATAATCACTGAACTTCGTGAGACCGTCAACGCTAATTTCAATGTATACTTCATTCATGCCATTGGAGGATCAATATTTCCCTATTACGCTTTTCTCAAAGTGTTTCCGAAAGAAATCAATCTCTATGCCATTGAGTACAAGTTAGATTTCAACGCTAGAACACTTAAGGAATTAGCAGCCTTCTATGCATCTGCGGTAAATTTTTAATAACGCTAAAGCTTCATAGTTAGCGAATGAAATACTCTATATAAATTGCAGCGCTGCCGACTTTTCTTCAGGTAGCAGCACATACTAAAACTGTTCGCCCTTTTCTAGTGGGTCATTCCATGGGAGGAACGATAGGCAGAGAAATGGTGGTTGAAATGAGACTGTGGGGATGGGAGGTTGTATATTTCTGATCTTCGTGAAAACGCTTTTTAAAGTTTTTAGTGGTTGTAGGTACCATTTATTGTCATGTTTGACACATGGATCGTGCGACCGGAACAGCTCGACATAGAACGGGTTTCCAACTTTGCTCAGGTTTCTACAGTTCAACTCATTTTCATTTTATCCATCAATTTGGAATGTTTCAGAAAATCTTTAAGAATCTTCCGAACAACATCAAAGGAACAGAAAGTGCAATACGTTTGGCAAGGATGCTCAAAGCTCATCCCTTAACAATTTCACCAACGAAAATTTACTTATTTAAAAGCCTAGAAGTGGGAGATGCAGCATTCCGAAGTATTGTACGGTTAGTTAACATAATGTAAATCTTCATTAGAACTTTGTGAATTAGAGCAGAAGATACATAAGGAGCTAAATTTTAACTCGAAACAGCTTGGAGATTTTCAGTATCTTTCTTCGATAACTGAATACGGAAAAAATCGTGGAAGGTGAAGGGATTGTCTCCTATTGCATACATGTTTGAAATTGGGAACGTTTCTTATAGGCCAGATCTCACCGAAATTACGTCACGATCCATGACAGCAAATGGCCTCGAACAACTGTCAACACAACCCGTTGATGTATGGCTGGTAATGTCAAAAATTCTTTGTGTCACAACTGTAGTACGTTGGCAATTATAAATACGATGAGATAATGCAGAATTCAAACCTTAGGTAGCCTTCAAAGCTACATCTCAGCATCCCTATAGTTGCATTTCACATTGCATCCAGCCGTGAAAAAAATAGGCAGTTAAAGGATTGGATGTTGTTATAAAATTAGGGAAACACCATGAAACAACTAAACTAGAAACCAACGTATTAAGTAAACTTAAGTCCTCATCTTTTCACGTCGTACGGGTAGTAGCATTTCTTCTATCCAAGTCGTCGTCTTGGAACGTTTATTCAGATGGTAGTTCGGTTCGGGTACAGCTTGAGAACCTCTTACCGCCTCATGATAATGAGTACTGGTCGGGCATGCTTTTCCCTGGAACCTTGATATGACAAGATTCTCACCGCAGACAGCTTTACCACTTTGGAGGTGGGAGGGAGGGAGGGAGAGGGCGGGGGGGAGTTCGATTCCGTGCAACACAGATTCTTTGAGGACGAAACCAATTACAACTAATCTGACGACCAGCCGACCTATCACCACAGGACGACGTAACAAGCTGAAACTGAAACTAATCAGAATGAAAGAACGCGTGCGACATTCAATTATTTTTTGTGTTTGTTGATATCATGGGGTGCGTGTGGCATAAGAGTTAGAAATACTCTATAATGTACACAATGTCGATAGTTCGATATCCCCAATTCAGAAAACCAATCCGTTGTGGAACCAGCAAATCAGCGTGAGGCTTGTCTTGGAGCGCGAAAACACTGGTTTACACATCGATTTGCTTCCGAAAACCACTGAATAGGCTAAATACGCGCTCATTCACCTTAAAGATACTTAGTGGCGTCGAATGCATTATGCATCCTTCAAGTATTGATCAATGCCCAACACTTTATCCTTCATACAGAATCCTTAACTCTTTCACTTAATTTTATAGATTTAACAGCAATTCACTATGTACAATCACAAAAAACAACGTGTAAATATACATACTTGCAGATCGCTGGGAGCCACGAATCATGTCTAAGGCCGGAGAATTTGAGCATTCACAGGAACATAATACTTTCACTATTCAACAATTGGCTATGAACAGAAATGATATTCGAATCAAATACCAGTAAATAAAGCTAATGTGAAAATTCTAAGCCATCATGAATATGTTAATAGTTAACGGTTGAAATGGCCTACCATTTATGCACAAGTCATGTTCATAAAGATAACTTTCACAAGGAAACCACTTAGATACATTATTGAATGCAGGAATATCTTGCATAGAAAGACAAGCGTCATTGCTGAAGCGTATTTTATTTGCCTAATAAGGAATAAAATACATATGCTACGGCCTAGAGGTAAATATAACATAATGAAATAAATAACGCAGACCTCATGAAACACACTCGTCTCAAGTTGCCTCACTGCATGCTGCACAAGCTCCCGGCTCTAATAACATCTTTCTTTCTTCCTAAAGTGCTACTTTCATCAAATCTGCCATGAAAGATTTTGACTATTCAATAAGCTCTACGATTTAGCGATCTACCTCGAGGCAACATAATGAATGTGCGACATGCCCACAACTAAAAACTCTAAGTTCACTCCCACGTTTCTCCAAGCTCAAGAACGACAAACAACTGAAAACCAGTACATAAAGCATAAATAACAGTATCGAAAGCAGTGAAAATTTTCTAACTGCTTACCCACATATCGAACATTGCTTTCGAGGACTGACTGCTACCGAGAGTGCTTGCAGGCGTAGATAGGTTGAAAGAAGTATCCGGACATCGCTACGAGTTGCTTCATGACAGCCACGTTGTAGTTCAACTCGAGCAGCATAGTCACGCAATATCTTGACCAACGCATCACGTAACCCTGGCACAGACATGGTGGGCGGAATCTGGACAAAGTCGTTTTGACTCTAACACGATCGAGAAAAATATCGCATCATTACTTTATATTTACTTTGATATTTTGACGGCCCGTTCTCACTGGTTGTGCGAGCTCCAACATAATCTCCATTTTTTCGGAGTACTGTTGGTTTAACCATTGTGGTTCCCTGCAGTCCCGAGGTGAGCCAGGCCAAAGTCTGTCCCGAGTCATCACCACCACAGGCAGTAGCCGCCCTTGTGGGTCACAGCGAGATTTGCCACCATGCGACTAGTTTGGTACCAGAACGGTGACAGATCCTGGTGTTAGTTTACTTTTGGCTGGGTTTCCTGATGGAAACGGCAGACTCCTCAGCTTGGAAGACTCTGCCAGCGGGATGAATCCTCCCGATGTATATCGCAGCCCGACACCAAGGAATACCTCTCAGCCACGATGGGATGGTAAACCCTTGACACGATTGCATCATTTTTACGATAAAAAGATGACTTGCTCTTTGACCAAGCAAAAATGATTCGTCTCTCTTAATTCGCGACAAAAGATGCTCAAGGACAGCGTTATCATCTGTATTTACGGCGTACTACATCTAACATAGTTTCTAGTTTTTTAAGTTCTATGAACCAATTGGAAATTTTAAGTCGGCAAGCAGTGCTAAACGGGCAGACCTTTGTGTATTCGTATAAAAGAACACCTAGATGGCAAACGAAAACTAAGACGAAGCACCCCACTAGGCACGCATAGGATACAAAAGCATAGCGGAGACGATTTTGAAGTAAAAGTCAATATCCTTGCACATGAGTCCAAAACACCAGCGCGAAAACTCCTTGAGGCTTTTTGGATCAATGCCAAAAACCCTACAATGAATAGCAGAGATGAATGCCCGGAGGTCATACGCGACCTGATCCCGTACGCATCGATTTTTGATGTAGGATGGTGCAGTCGTCAACCACATGCGACTATAATCAGCTGTTCTAAACTTCCTCATTGGAAGTCACGAAAAAGCGGTGGGTTTTTCGAGAAGTTGTTGATCATGTAATTACCAAAGAGTCTTTCGTCTTTTTGTAAGTGTTATTGAAGCGTTTGGCCTAGTAGATTGTATATTAGTATACCCTTCCAGGCTCTGAAGAAGGCGATACTGCCGAAACGTCAGCTAGCGTTGTATTGTACTGTGTTTTTTATGGAAGTAAATGTACGCTGTTTAAAAACCTCGCAATCGCTGAACAAGCTAACATCTATGTTCAAATAATTAACCAAACGATATAAAACAATATGCAGATAACGGAACAAGAAACTTTTGGACATTCAAGCATGGAAGTGTTTATAGAACAATAACGATATACGAACATACCATTTGGATAACTCGAAGCGGGTCAACACTACTGCCAGCACGATTGAGTAAGTGAGCTACATGATCTGGTGTCTTAATAACTTCGTCAATCAAGCGTTCCCATAAATCTGTGTCATCATGTTCTGCAAAGAAGAAAGAACACTTAAACTTGAATGAAAACAGACCCGAAAAACCCACCTTTGCAATATTCAATAGCCTTATCTAGCTGATTGTACTTCTTCACCATTAGATCCAACGCATCTACATGATTCCCACTCTTTCCCAGTAGCAAAATCATCTGCACTATTAGGACATAAATTTGAAGACATAGTGGAACGAAACGGTGCAAATATACCTCTTCAATGAAATTCTTCTGTCTACAGACTTGAAGAGCCCTGCTTATGTGATAATTTTCGTTCTTCCTAAGGAATGGCATCAACTTTTTCCTGTCATATTCAGCATATAATCGCACAGCCAGATCAGCAAATTCTGCTCCTTCATTTTTGTTAAGAAGTTTCGTTAAGTATGCCATCTGAAATCTATTCGAACCAAAGAATTCAATTAATTATTTGCGAGCATAAAGGGTACGAATCTCATTCGGGTTGCTCGTATTAAATTATTTCACCTTGAAAAAAATGCAAAAAACGTAATCACATTTAAGGTGGTTAACAAAAAGTTTATAGGTTAGCAACGAACAAAAAACTATTCGATAAGCTACTTATAACAAAAATTTCAAGCTGCCTGAAGATTTCTTTGTTAGATAGGTAAAAAAATGCTTATTCAAACTTTGAAACTTTGCGAATTTAAACTCTAGGTAAATTTACGATAAAACAATGTTTTAGAGCGTATTTACACGCGTGTAGCTCAGCTACCGGAGGCACCCTGCAATACACACGGGATCGATCCCGTGCACAAGGTTCACCAAACCTTCCATTCCTCCACGGCTGACAAATTTCTACCAGACTTGTCTGGGAGGATAACAGCACTGGCTCGATACATCGGCAGGTCATCGTGAGCAATTGTAAAGGACAGACATGTATTTAGTCACCTCCAAACGATGCTTAATGAAGTCAAATGCATGGCGCATCCCTCAGAGGTTGATCGACGCCGAGAGCTTTATTTTTTCACATATATCTCTTTGCTGGCTTAGCCGTTGTGGTTCCCTAGAGTCCTGAATTCAGCCAGACTAAAGTCTACCCCAAGTCGTCACTACAGCAGACAGGCGCCACCCTTGTGGATGAGAGGGAAATTTGTCACCATGACTAGTTTGGTGTCAGGACGGTGACGGATCGTGGTATTGGTTTGCCCTTAACCGGATTTCCTGATGGGAACGCCGGACTCCTTCTGAGCTCTGGAGGCCCTGCGCCTGATGATGAATGCCCCTACTGTATATCGCAGCCCGACACCAAGGAACACCTCTCAGCCACGATGAGGTGGTAAACCATTGACAGGATATATATATATCTACATGTATACATATAGTACTTTGAATCTGAAGGAATTAGGCGTACGAAGCTCCATGCATTTACCGTGCTTATGAGATCCTTCGCTAACTAAACGCCACCTTTTCGAAAACGTCGACAAGCACTATGGGAAAAACTTCAATAATGCCACTAAGTACTTAATCAGATACTTTGTAGATTTTGATGTGTGGAATTTTATCACTATCAGCTAGAGCTGCATGTTGTTGTAAAACGTTTGTAGAATTTAATAAATTGTGCTATGATTCCTCCTAACAGTTTACCGCCTCATGTGGCTGGGAGCTGTTCCTGGGTGTGGGAGTGCGATACACAGTGGGAGGATTCATCCTTACAGCAAGGCCTCCCAAGCTAAGGAGTCCGGCGTTTACATCAGGAAACCCAGCTAGGAGTAAACCAATAGCAGGATCCACCACTGTCGTGGTACCGAACTAGTTGCATGGTGGAAAATCTCCCTCTGATCCACGAGCGGCGACTGCCTGTGGTGGTGAAGACCTAGGGCAGTATTTGGCCCAGCTGACCCCAGGACTCCAGAGATCCACAATGGCTAAACCAACAAAACTCGAGAAATGGGGAGGGTGCTAAGGCCCGCACAACCGGTGAGAACGGGCCGTCCAAGTATCTAAGTGTTCAAGTATTATGGTTAACAACGTTTGCAATTTAAAGAGTAATTTCCATCTAAGACACTTCAACAACTTGCACTAATTTAGTCGAACCAATATAAAACACACCTCATAAAAAATTACGTAAAAAAATTTAACACTTCACACAACCTCACTGGAACAAGGCGTATTTAGTTCTTGAAATTTACGTCAATGATCCTCCTCCCATTTACCTGAAGTCTCGGTTGTCTAGCGATTTTCGCCATTACCAAAGAAGCAGGCACACTATCCTCGTTATCCAAAAGAAGTCGTAAAGCAAGATCAGTGTTTATAAGCATCAATTCCGATATCTGATCTTTTACCTTAAAAACGGTTTCAACTGGTTTTGAATTAAGATCGGCTACGAAACTTACGTGCTCAAACAATTGGTATTTATCAATGACTGCAAAAATTTGTTGATCGCGTAAGCTCATGTAGATCTTTATTGCAGAATCGAATTTTCCTTCATATACATATAAATGTGCTAAAGCGTGATAGAGGCGAATTTCATCCTAAAAAAGACTTAAAAAAAACTATAACGATAGGAACATCGACAACTGAACAGCCCAGACGCAAAATGCACTCTGGTCACCTTCTGAGGCACCGGACTTGATTCCGACTGATTAGTAACCAATTCTTGAATACGTCTTAAGGTCATACCAGTTATCGACCCTAGAACAACAACAACCATAGATTTCAAAAGCAAGGATTGGATCGATGTGGTCTACTTCAACTTTCAAAAAAATACAACCAACTCATGGAAGCCAAAGCCTGCTAAAAGCACATCCTAGAATTTCGCAACTAATGGATAATCAGCATAGAATTTTTTCAAAATACCGGTTCTATACAAGTCTGGCGACCACTGCTGCACCAAACGCTTGAAGAGGTCCACATCATTATACAGAGCTGCTTGCAGAACGGTTTCGTAACATTCGGGTTCAAGTTGAGGGTGCGATGTTGGCAAAAACTAAAAGCAAAATCGAACATATTATACCTACTAATGGAATAGATAGAAGAAATAGGTAGTTGGAATACATATATCTATATACACATATATGTGTATACATACGCGTATATACGTATATACATATATGCATGTATACAGATTCATACGCATATACAGGAGCAACCTGAGCTATAAGCGTGCAAAAGTGGGCACGTTCGAATGCCCCCACAGCCCATTCCCATTCAGCACTGGATTCGCCGCAAACCTTCAAATGAGAAAGCTACATTAAAAACTATTCAAAGTACTTAAAAAACAGGACTAAATCGGCATGTAAAAAAGTAAAGTACACAAGGAATTATTATCTATATAAATGGCTATGAACTTCAGCTACTCTTGCAGACGCCTGACGAGGCTTTCCAGACCAAAGAAGGTGTTCAATCATGGCACGTCCTACACTTCGACTATCCCATTTGCTATCTTCTAGCTCGGCATTTCTCTCTCGGGCCAATTCCCAAGCTTCTTCAAGTAAACCGTTTTCAACACGCCATTTCACAGTGTCTGCTGCACAATATGGAGTCGCCTGAAAAAACACATTTTTAAATGTTACAGAAACCTGGAAATGCTGAAAACAGTAGACTTCGGTCTAAGCCGAGGAGAAGAGGATTGTTGGTGCTTAACACCCATGAGCCCCTAAACAAATCTAAAATTAAAAACTACTTAGAAAATATAGTTTATTTCCAAGTGATAAACATGATGTCTCGTCTCTTCATAGAGAGTCGGCTTGTTTCCTGCGTACAGAATAATGATTTACACCGAATATTTATTTATCGGCAGAGCCTCTTTAGTTATAAAGAGTCCGATGTTTTCATCCAAAATACCGACCGAGAGAAAACCAATGTGAGAAATCACTGTTATCATGCTAGCTACTTAATGGCGGGACTCGCTTGGTGCACAAAGGTGGGTCACAACACGGCTAACACGAGATTTCAGTGAAAAAAAAACTTGACCGACAAGCAAATTACTAACAAAATGGATATTGTGTAAGAACCCGCACGATTCTTGATAAAAACCTGTGCCATTTAAGTACGTCCTTCCCAACGGTTTACTGCCTCAACAGTGACTGACAGGTGGTCCTGGGTGTCTGGCTGTGATGTACAACGAGGATTCATCCCCGGCAAGGTCTCCCAAGCTGAGGTGTACGGCGTTTCGCCAGGAACCCCAGCTAAGGGTAAACCAATACCAGGATCTACCACAGTCCTGGTATCAAATTAGTCTCGCATGGTGGTAAATCTCCTCTGATCCATAAAGGCGGCGACAACCTGGGTAGAATTTGAGCAAGCTGATCTCGGAACTCCAGAGAAACGCTATGGCTGAATCAGCAAAACACCGAAAAATGGAGATTATGCTGGGGCCTGTACAACCAATGAGGACAGGCCGTCCAAATATCCAAATAAGTAAGTATTTAAATAAGTAAGCTTGAGCGGTAGAGCAAAGCTTCCTCTGAGTAGTTCCAAGAGTAGTGCAGGTTCTCAAGTGCTGCAGCTATCAGAAAACCGGTTATAAATTAATGATGAACTAGATGATATAATACCATATTTACATGCGCCAATAATGCTTTTCGTAGTTACTACAGCAGACCATCCTAATACTTGTAAAAATCCAAGTGTAATATACAAAAGAAAAGAGTTACGATCCATTTTACTAATTTTGGCATAAGCCATGTATTAGAGGAAATCATTCACCTTCTTTAATATTGATTTTATGAACGCTTGATTTTACAATAATAAACTCTTAACGAGGAATTGATTGTTTTAACCTACCATTATAAGATCAGAAGCGCCAATAAGAAAGTATGACTCGCAAAACGGCAAGCCAGCCAAGGCGAACTGATAGGGCTGAGAGCACGGTTTTACTGACAAACTAGAAGATAAGCGAGTGCTATTTGCTGCAGATACTCAAGGCCTCAGTAAGAGTTTCACCTGAGTCGGTCCTCTGACAACAGACGGTACGTCGAATATGTCTCTGGCGCAAGTAAGCAGAGTTGAACTAGTGGTGTTGGCCCACTTCCACTCAAAGTGGATTCCAAGGACACCAAAGACTAAATCTTTCAAAAGTGATTATAGAGTAGGTTGAAAGGTAAACAAAGTACACACCGCAGTGTCGCAAAACGAGTCTGCATCCTCGGTATCGCAAATGGGTTTCAGCCCAAAGACGACAATGCCATTCCAGGTTCCAAAAGAATCTAGCGTACATGAAACACCAGAACAAAACATGTCGAGGTGCCAAGTGAAATGAATTTCGACTTGCTTTAAACGCTGAAATTCGTTGTCATAATAATACACTTGCTCTACAAGAGATACGACGACGCACTTAAGCAAATTATCACGCCATTTACAAAAAATTAACAAATCTTCACCGTTTCTTCTGAAGATGCTACCATGACGATAGTAATTGTGTCGGCCCAAGCTATCGCAAGCTGGGAATCGTCAAGCCAACAATGACTTGGAGGGAATCGCGAAGAACGTATGCGGTCGACATCATGTGATTTAGGTATAAAGGAAATTAGTTGACATGATAATCTAAACGGCGTGACTTACGTATTCAGAAAATGAAGGTAGAAATATTGCAACGTGAACACAGGAAAAAACAAACCTGTCAAAAATTCTTGTCCCCCTATCGGTAGTGAATGCTATTAGAGATTCCTTCCAGGAGGACTGAGTAATAAATCCGTCTTCTTCTGCTCCACGAAATATTATCTATAACAAGTGCTTACGATATTTTAATACAAAAAAATCTTGCAATATTAGTATAAAATTACTCACAAGCTCTTTATATTTGAAAAACTTTTTTTCATAAAGAATTAAATTTCGTTCGCCGACAACAAACATTGGCACAGAGGTTGGCCTCGAAAAGAATGGGTTAATTGCTATTGAGCGGGGCATAACAGAGAGATTCAAAACCTGAAAACACTACTTTCTGTTCTCATCGTCCAAAATCAAATGATGTATCGCAATGTTATTGCACGAGAAATAACTGCAATCACACTAGCTGAGACAGGCGAAACGAAGGAACCACATGGCGTGGTGGTAAACGCGTTGACCCCCGAAAGGGTAATAACGCGTTCGCTTCCCACTGCAGACACCTGCGGCCCGGAGTTTTGCAAATATCTCAGTATAATTATGGTTGTAACGGTACTGTTTGGTTTCCTTACGAAATCTGAACTTGAAAAAGCTTGAATTTATCACCGTGCAGTATTGAGATATCTATAGACGTTTCAGGTAAATATTTCCCTTTATACATATCCTCAGCGTTTTTTCAGAGCGCTGAGCGTCACACTCTCAACAGCAAGCCTTTGGATATGGTACATCTCCATATAAGAAACCCATTTCCAGCTTACGTAGTTTAGATTGCTTGAACCAATTCCAGAAATGGTCACACGACAGTCATTGGCACAACTCATCACGTAGTTTCCCAATTCGTCGACAGCTAGTCTTGTGACAGCACTTCGATGAGGACGAGTCACCTGAACTAAACGCTTCAAGAATAGCAAAGCACAGTGGTCACGCTGCCCATAACAAACAAACGGAGAGAATTTACTGTTTGAAAAATGTTCAAACCGGCACGTTTTGGTGATCGACATGACCAAGATGGTCCATAATCCATACGTAGCCCATTTGTGTGCCGACCGTGATCAACTTCGGGTGAGCAACAATAGCAGTGATAACTTGAGAAGCAATCATCTGTTGCCATAGTTTAATTAGGATCTAATATACGACCGCAGTTATAACAAAGGATATGAACCTGTTTTGCATCAGAGCCTTCTAAGCGTTCATACTTGAATCGCGGTTCCAGGAGAACCTCATCCTCATCAGAGGAACAATCTTTGTTCGGCTTCTTGTTTTCTCCGTAACCATGTGAACTCTCATCAGTCCTATCAGACATAGCATCCACGTGCACTATATATCTTTATCAAGAGTATATGTAACAAAAGTTTAAAACAATGGTAGCCCGTGCTGTTTTTTGATATCTTGAAACAGGTACAAGTGATGTTCATTCCACACCATTACAACCGTATGAGGAAACAGGTATTGATAATATTTCATTGACAACAATATCATAAAAAATAACAATGCACTTAAAACATATCAAAATCCGGAAAAATGTAAAAAATATCGAGAAGTGCAGATTAGTTGAAGTTAACGGAATCCTAACTCACGCTTCCGCTGCATGGCAATGGTTTCTGGGAGTGGCTTCTCTCACCACCATTGCCACTTTTCATTCTAAGAAAATTAAGTAAAGGCCGAAGGAAGTTAAAAACCTCGAAAAAATGTATGCAATAATGCTAACGGTACGTAAATGGCATTAAAAAATACTCACAAAAATGAAAATGTATCGATTTTGCAATGACCGTCAAGCTGCATCTCAAGTTGCCCGATGCTTCGCAGTATCTCTTCATTCACTGGCTTTTCTTGACAAGTGACCAATGCGGCTGGACTACTAAGATTCGATGTTGGTCGATGACGATGTACAGCCAACGTTCCACTGTGAATAAAATGAAAAATTGAAAGTAACAACTGCTAACAATTCCAATTATATCACTTTACTATAACAACCTGCCACCGTTTACCGCCTCATTGTGGCTGGGAGGTGTTCCTAGGCGTCGGGCTGCGATATACAACGAGGGAATTCGCCCCCAGCAGGGTCTCCCAAGCTGAGAAGGAGTCTATCGTTTCGATCAGGAAGCCCAAAAAAGAGTAAACCAATACCAGAATCCACCACCGTCCTGGTATCAAAGTCCCATGGTGGCAAATCTCGCTCTGATCCAAAAGAGCTGCGACTGCCCGTGGTGGTGAAGACCTGGGGCAGACTTTGGTCAGGCTGACCTCGGAACTCCAGGGAACCATAATGGTCTAACCAGCAAATCTCCGAAAAGTGGTGATTATGCTGGAGCCCGCACAACCAATGAGGAGGGCCATCCAATTACCCAATTATCCAAGTCTTGCAGGGAACTTACTAAGAGACTCGTTGATCACAAGGTAAATAGAAGTTCACAGCAACGCAAAATTATTGTTTGCAAACAAAAAAAGTGAAATGCCTGTTCAATACACCCTTCAACCATTCATGGATTGATAAAAGCACACGCTCGGAGCGAGTAGAAGAAAATCCACTATCTTCCATTAACTGAGATATATTTTTTCCCAATAGTGTCACAGCTTGATCGAATCTTTCTCGGCCTGCTCGCCACTTGGAGCCATATAAAGGTAAGCTGAACATGACAATCGACATGGTGACAGAACGTGTAACACATAGATTAAAGGAGATGAATTAAGTATAAGCAGTTGAAATTCACATGCCTTTTGTTCTCTTTAGGGAAGTAGATACTAGATAATGAAGCGCCTGGTTGAAGCGGATATCGGAACTGGTAGTCTAAGAGCTTGGCGACACAGTCCAGAAAGTGGGCCACATAGCCAAGAGCTGCCGATATTTCAATCTCCTGGTGACCTACGAACCGATTTTTTCAGCTTTATGTAAAGACGCACTCTCATAGGTAGCATCAAAGCTTAACTCTAACACACTCACGACAATTTGAGATACACGATTCATATTCGACCAAAAATGACATAGCCTTTCTTCTCTAGATAATCATACTCCAGGTCATTTTGTATTTTACTAATTGGAGCACTAGGCGTTAAAATCTACAGATCCTGCTCAATAAGGGTTATAACGGGCTAACTTTTTAACACTACAACTTGCAAATAGTATTCCCCTTTACTTTACTTTTCTTTTTCGAAACGTTTCATTTCAAGGGAAGCAAACGGAATCGAAGAAACGAGATTTCATCCACTAAGACACGACCTTTTCCTCAGATTGATACTCATCGGCGTGCGGGGTTGCCTCGCTTGCCTTCGAGGTTTTAAAAATTGTGAAATATCCCAACAATTACTGACAATTGAACTTTTAATTAGTGCCAAAGTAGCAGCGGCGCGTGTAGCGTAGTGGTCGGAGAAGTCCTGCAATACACATGGGATCAATCCCCGTGCCCCAGGCCCAACAAGCTTTCCATCCCTCTTGGGTCGCTAAGTTGGTGTCAGATTTGTCTGAGAGGATAGCAGCACTGGGTCGATACATCGGAAGGCCACCGCGATTCATTGTGTAAGCCAAATATGCATGCCATCACCTCCAACGATGGTTCATGAAGTCGAATTCATGGCGCATCCCTGAGAAACGGGTCAACGCCGACAGATTTATCCTTATTAATATCACAACAAAATTTTGAGACTTGGATGTACATTTAGACTGATAGAGCACATCTTTCTCTACAATATTACGAAGCTATGAACTCCTTAAGTGTTCCAGTTGCCAAAATTTATCAATGGTTGTAAAAAACCACCACGGTCATAAATTTATTAACTGCACATGAAATGGCTATAAGGGTGGAATTGAAGACGTGTTCACTAACCTATCAGCTCAGTAAAAGAAGGCAAATGGACATTACAAATACTGTCTATTGTACTGCACGAACATGGATGCTTCGCACGATCATCACGAGTTACTTGCACCTGAAATTGTTTATAAAGACCTATCTCAACTATACAATGCACTAAAAGTTAGAGAAATAAAACAACAACATCTAACAGACGAAAAAAAGACACTACAATTCGAAAGATCTTCGAAATTTCATTCAGCAACATACGCCTCCGTGCTCTAGCGAGTTGTGTGAAAACCACCACGTACTTTCTGAACATCTTAAGCATCAGAAATCTTGCAGAACACAATAAAAAACTGTGGGCAACAACTATAAACCTTCTTGTTTTCAGCAAAGAAACAGCTTCCGCACAATAATCTTCTAGGTCAAAAAGTCTTCTCCGTAACTCTGACTGGCATTCCTAGATTTGAAAAGTCAGAAAATGTTTCAAAACGGACTTTCCTTTAACCTCGGTATGACTAAGCAATATGTTGTAGACCATCGACTCGGTTCATGGGCTCTGATGAAGACGAAATCGTCAAAACGTTGGCCGAATAAAGATGATGTATAAACTTTGTGTAAGCGCTTATCGTCAGAAAATGCTTGTTTAGCCCAATAAAATACTCATCAACCTTTTCAGCCAGTTCGTCGTCGGTTTTCTTCAAAACCATGCGTTTCTTTGTGCACATTCTTTTCAAATGTTCGAGTGATTTGTGCTGGCGAGCGATCGTAATCTCAAGGTTTTGAATCTCATGGGCCTGGAAGTTAGAACGTTTAATTAAGAAACCCACTTGGTAAGTCCTGCACTTTGTCTTTCCTCACATGTTATCGAAAAGGAACGAACAAGTTGATGAGCTTCCACGAGATAGTGAAGATCGCCACCCTCATGAAGTTGAAATTGATGGTATTCCAGTTTTTCCCTTGTGGAACGTATTGCAAGAGCGACAGTCCTCAACCTGAACAAAAACGGTATCGATGTTATCCAGGAGAGCTATAAAAACGTATGATTCTTCTAAGAACCTAGGCATTTCATAAAGAATACATGTCTACCGAAAAAGAAGAAAGGAATGCTGCTAAAACACAAACCGATTCCAACATATATCAGAGGCAATTTGAACACTCGGAGATTTTCCACTACATGACGAGTCAGTCAAGCTATCTACAGGTGACATAGGAAATATTAGTCTCTAAACTTCCATAAAAATTAGCTGAAAAAAAGAAACGAAGATTTACAGCATGGAAAATTGCAAGAATTTTATAATACATGCAACAGATACGACATTGGCAAGAACGATTTATAAGAACTGTCTATTCTATCAAAGCCTAACCCTTGAGGAACCAAACTGGAAGAGCAAACCTCTGGTAAGAAGGGTTAGAGGAAGTATAGAAGTTCTAGACTTCAAACAATGATCTACGAATAAACTACGAAGGATTGCTAGAGTAAAACTACACGTTCATGTAAGCTAGCAGGCGAATCAAGAATCCAGTCCAGAACAACCCTGGATCCCTGCGACCTAGAATGAAACAGAGCAGAAAAATAAGTGCAAACCCCTAGCAATCCAGATCTATCCAGGATCCTGACAATCCAGAACAAACGAGAGCAGAGAAATAAGTCCAAAGCCGATTACGAAAAAAAACTTGTTTTTCGAGAACGAGTAACTACGATTGTAAGCACAGTGTGTTACTTACAAGTAATGCATATGAGAAACCATCAGAACACTACAATAGCGGTATATCTATCGACAACATAACAAGGAATCCTCATATCAACGCCAATATTTAACAGGATATCTCTCATTCCTGAGCTGGAAGAAGCACAAAGAAACATGAAGATGACCTAAAAATAAAACGAAGGCTTTACAGCAGTAAGTAATAAGTAGACAAGGTAAATTCAACTGTAACTCCTCGATCTTGCGATGCTTCGAGCACTGGCTGATTCACCAACTGAGACGTCGGTAGAGCGCGCCAAACCGCCAGTGGTTAACAATTAAGAGTGGTTGAGTGACAATAACCTTTTAGGAGAGTAAAGTCATGAAGCTTATGAAATTTAATCCTTCATACCTATGAAGCCACCACTAGTCCGGCTATGGTAAATCAAAATAAGTGGCTTCCAAAAAAATAAGGACCATGGACACCTGCGGTCCAGAGTTTTGCAAATATCTCAGCAACGTAAGTGGCTTATGTTAACCCACAGGAGGTTTTCCATGGTCCTTTTCTGAGTACTACTCAACGGTTCAGAAAAAAGTTTCAAATCGATTGACTTACAGGTACTAAGGATATCACCAACGAGGTTACTCGTCTACTCCGGGATGGTCCGTCAAGTTGCACCGTCCGTTTGTCGTTTCAGCCACCACCGCAGAGAACTCGGCACAAACTGTCTGGTTATAGTAATTGCCTGGAACCATAAAAATAAGGGTTTCGTGTCCCTGATTAGGGTTCCTAAAAAGTTTAGCAGTCTAGTATTGATACTTTAGGTTTCGAAGCTCCTCTTTTAAACTTTTAATATGTGAGTGCAGGAAATTCACAACCAACAATCTGCCATTCATCGACGACATCATCATCGATGTTGAAAATTAGACTCAGAAAAGCGGAAGTAGCTTGCAAAAGTTCTCCATTATTCTTAAAATCGATTTTATTAACTCTATATTCCTCCTTTACCTTTTATCGTCATTCATACTCTTCTCTTGTTCTTGCTCCTCGTTCCTGTTCGCTTGTTTTCCCTCCTATTATCAGTATCCTTCTTGGCGGTGTTCCTACGACGTCATAATTTCCAATGAACAGTTTCTGGAATCTATCCGACTCGTTTCGGCATGAAAACGTGACCGAGTAGTGAGTCCGCGTCGCGGCCGTGCGCTCGCGTCAATCAGTCTCCGGTTGGTCGATAGGTGCGTTGAATGCATCAGTTCTAGGATATCGGGAAGTGATAAACTTCACTATTCATTAACGATTACCTGAAGATCCTTATGTTTACTTAAGTATTTCTAGCCATTTTAATAGGGTAAAGATGGGTTTGCTGTTGTGATGTGGGACCATTGACTGTGCAAAGTCATATTTCTTCAGTTAAACATCACTACGCTTTGCCCTGTTCGATGCATTCAGTGGATTTCTTCGTTCTCTACTGTTGTCAACTTTTTGCTCTCTCTCTATCCACCTTCCAGTAGTTTCGGTTTCAAGATGGCTTCATGAGGTGGTTATGTTTAGGTTATTATGAACAAAAAAGGATTGGGTCCACTTGTTGAATGCTCAGAAGGAGTTGATGGAGCTGATCAAGACGTCACAGCTCGTGGAGCTCAAGGTGAGCTTCATTCTGATCTAAAGTGCGGTTTTTTTTCGACAAGAAATCCTTTGGCTGCCATTTTTTTTTGAAAAGTCATTCGTTCCCAAAAGTTATGACTTGCAAATTCACTTATTCGATCTATATCTTTTTGGCCAGTGATTTTCACGGGGCCTTCTTGAGTTTTCCTAAACAACTTACAAATAAATTTCTAGCTGTATGGATCCATTGTTAACGGTAATCATTTGTGGACTCTGAAGAGTGCTCACAATAAACTACTGCTAGCCAATGGCAGCTTTCTGTTTTCTGTTCCTATTAGCATATAGGTTTTTAAGAAAGTCCACTAAAGCACGCATCTGTTCTAGACCACTTTTGGAAGATAAGTCTGGAAAATGTGCCAGAGAGTTTACAAGCAGTGAAGAATTCTGTTAGTGTGATACGATTTATTGCTAATGTCAAACGTGCTACGAGAAGACTACCAACGCGATGGTCAGACTTGTAATAGTTCCCAGGATAGACATTCTGTTAACCTCGGCATTGGAATATAAATGCGTCGTGTTCTTGTTCAGTAATCGCGAGGTTTTTAAACAGCATACATTTACTTCCATAGAAAAACAATACAATACAACACTAGCTGACGTTTCGGCAGTATCGCCTTCAGAGCCTGGAAGGGTATACTGATATCCAATTTACTAGGCCAAACACTTCAATACCACTTACAAAAAGACGGAAAACTCTATGGTAATTACATGATCAACAGCTTCTCGAAAAACTCACCGCATTTTACGTGACTTCCGATGAGGAAGTTTAGAACAGCTGATTATAGTCGCATATGGTTGATGACTGCAGCATCCTACATCAGAA